CAGCTAAAAGAAGCAAAGCGCTCTCTCTCTCTCTCTCTCTCTCTCTCTCTCTCTCTCTCTCTCTCTCTCTCTCTTTCTCTCTCTTTCTCTCTCTCACTAAAAATTAAGTTGATATGGCCATTATTTTAAAAAGAAAAAAAGAAACAGTGTGGATGATGCTGAAAGATGGTTCAGCAGTTCAGAGTTCTTGTTGTTCTTGGAGAGGACAAAGGTTCAATTCCCAACACCCGCATGGTAACTCACAACCCTCTGTAACTCCAGTTCTAAGGGATCTGACACCCCCTTCTGACCTCCACAGACACCAGGCATGCATATGATACATATACATACATGTAGACAAAACATTCATACACATAAAACAAACAAATAAATCTTTAAAGAAAAAAACATTTTTAGAGAAAACAGCATAGAGGTTAGTTTCCTCAGAAAACTAAGACCAGACCTACTGTGTGATGTAGCTGTCCCACAACCAGGTGTATCGCAAAAAGAAATGAAATCAGTACAGCAAAGAAACACCTACGCTCTTGTGTTTATTACAGCACCGCTCACAATACTCAGGATATGGGCTCAACCCAGATGTCCATCACCAGATGAATGGCTAAAGAAAGTGTGGTGTGTTTATACAGAATGCAATATCATTCATCAGAAAAAAAGTGGAGAAACACAGATGAAACTGGAGGACAAGTTAAAAAAAAATGAAGCACATAACGGCAAATACTGCAAGTTCCTCCTAGATTCGGAAACTAAACATTGATATCACTGAAGTGGAGAGATAGACAGTGGGAGGGAAGGAAGGAGTGTGGTGTTTAATGAATTCGGGGGGACAGCCTGGTAAGTGCAGTAACTATGCTGTAGCACTGTAGGAAAGCTAGGCTTTACAACTGACTATATTTTTTAAAATAGATAATAGAGGGACTTTGGAATGGTCTCAATGCATACACACGATGTTCTCTGATATACTCTGCCTGTGATTCTAATCTTATCTGTATAGACAGTGTCCATGTTTCTAAATGTCACACAATAGTCCATAAATGTACACTTACTGTGTCAGTTAAAATTAAAAAAAAAATAGACTTCTAAAAGAGGGGAAACAAGTAGTTATAAAATGCCACCTTCCAAACACAATCCCAGTGAAACTTCACTTTTTTTTCTCTCTCCAACAAGTAACATACATTTGCACATATTTCAGTTACCCTGACATGAGATTGCAATCTCTGTTGTTATCTGAGAAGACAACAGAGAAGACAATTTTCTTAATGGAGAATTCTATGTAAATCAAATGAATAGACATTATTCCAAATGGTAATCAATTCACTCCAAGAATGCGGCAGCGTATACTAAACCCATCAACTGTGGACACCAGGGCGAGACTTGTGACGGGAGCACAACCCAGCAACCTCAAGGAATTTGTCACTCAAAGGATAGGCCCAGGACAGGGACAGCAGCATTTCCTGAGAGCCTGTTAGAAATGCAGACTCAGGGCTGGGGATGTACCTCATTGGGAAGCACTTGCGTAGCCCTGAGTTCAATCTCCTCTCTCACAAAAGAAAAAAGAAATACAAACCCTCAGGCTTCACCCCTGAACTCCTGAGTCAAAATGTGGAGTTGAGACACAAGGGTCTGCAGGGGCATGCCGGGCTAGTCATGCACGCACAAACTGGAGAAGTGCTGAGCAGTCCTCTGGTGAACACTGTTCGCATAAATCACCTTGGTTGATTTATTTGTTTTTTGTTTGTTTGTTTTCAATACCTTATTTACTTTTATTTTTTATGAAAATTGGTGTTTTGCCTGCATGTACATCGGTGTGAGGGTGTCGGATCCCCTGGAGGTAGTACAGGCAGTTGTAAGCTGCCATGTAGGTGTTAGGAATTGAACCTTGGTCCTCTGGAAGAACAGCCAGTGCTCTTGCCTGCTGAGCCATCTCTCCAGCCCTGTTTGTTTTCAAGACGGGGCTCACCTTGTAGCCTAGGCTGGTCTAGAATTCACGGTAGCATTTCTGCCCCAGCCTCTCAAGTGGTGGGATTATGGAATGAGCCACCATGTCTAGCAGTTACCTAAAAGAGTCTCTCTCTCTCTCTCTCTCTCTCTCTCTCTCTCTCTCTCTCTCTCTCTCTCTCTCTCTCTCTGCGTGTGTGTGTGTGTGTGTGTGTGTGTGTGTGTGTGTGTATGTGTGTGTAGCTGTGCATACATGTGTGTATTTGTGTTCATGTGCAAGCCTGAGGTCAGCACCAGGTACCTTCCTCTAGTCCTCTCCATCATCTTCCTCTAGTCCTCTTCATCTTCCTCTAGTCCTCTCCATCATCTTCCTCTAGTGCTCTCCATCATCTTCCTCTAGTCCTCCCCATCATCTTACTCTAGTCCTCCCCATCATCTTCCTCTAGTCCTCTCCATCATCTTACTCTAGTCCTCCCCATCATCTTCCTCTAGTCCTCCCCATCATCTTCCTCTAGTCCTCTCCATCATCTTCCTCTAGTCCTCCCCATCATCTTACTCTAGTCCTCTCCATCATCTTCCTCTAGTCCTCTCCATCATCTTACTCTAGTCCTCCCCATCATCTTCCTCTAGTCCTCTCCATCATCTTCCTCTAGTCCTCCTCTTCATCTTCCTCTAGTCCTCCCCATCATCTTCCTCTAGTCCTCTCCATCATCTTCCTCTAGTGCTCTCCATCATCTTCCTCTAGTCCTCCCCATCATCTTCCTCTAGTCCTCTCCATCATCTTCCTCTAGTCCTCCCCATCATCTTACTCTAGTCCTCCCCATCATCTTCCTCTAGTCCTCTCCATCATCTTACTCTAGTCCTCCCCATCATCTTCCTCTAGTGCTCTCCATCATCTTCCTCTAGTCCTCTCCATCATCTTCCTCTAGTCCTCTCCATCATCTTCCTCTAGTCCTCCCCATCATCTTCCTCTAGTGCTCTCCATCATCTTCCTCTAGTCCTCCCCATCATCTTCCTCTAGTCCTCTCCATCATCTTCCTCTAGTCTTCCCCATCATCTTCCTCTAGTCCTCTCCATCATCTTCCTCTAGTCCTCCCCATCATCTTCCTCTAGTGCTCTCCATCATCTTCCTCTAGTCCTCTCCATCATCTTCCTCTAGTCCTTCCCATCATCTTACTCTAGTCCTCCCCATCATCTTCCTCTAGTCTTCCCCATCATCTTCCTCTAGTCCTCTTCATTTTCCTCTAGTCCTCCCCATCATCTTCCTCTAGTCCTCCCCATCATCTTCCTCTAGTCCTCTCCATCATCTTACTCTAGTCCTCCCCATCATCTTACTCTAGTCCTCCCCATCATCTTAGTCTAGTCCTCCCCATCATCTTCCTCTAGTCCTCCCCATCATCTTCCTCTAGTCCTCCCCATCATCTTCCTCTAGTCCTCTCCATCATCTTCCTCTAGTCCTCCCTATCTTCCTCTAGTCCTCTCTATCTTCCTTAGTCCTTATTGTGAGACTGTGACTCCCTGAACCTGGAGCATCAATCCAGCTAGACTGGCCAGCAAGCCCCAGGGATCCTCCTGTCTCTGTCACCTCACTGCTCCAGTACTAGATTACAGGCACAAACCACCATACCCAGTTTTTATGTCCCTTCTCGGCATGGAGCTCAGGTCCCCATGCTTATTTATCAAGCACTTTACACCTCCCCAGTCATGTGCCTAATTCTTGCATCAATGTTGCAGCGTCCAGAAGAAAAAGGCATGGGGTAGGCATGAAAAGAGCCATGTGTGCCAGCAGTTCTCTATCCCTGCTGTGCATTGGAAACACCTGGGGCATTTAGACACGCCTTCAGGTGGTGTCACTGAGTTGATATGGGGCTGCCATAGTGATAATGTAAAGATCTCCTGGTAAGGCTGATGAGGGCCAACAGGTAAAAGTCGCATACATTCATAGTGTGGTGAGCAGGTGGGTCCTTATATGGATGCCAACCTTCCCTGCTGGGCAGAATTCACAATGACTGGCTCTGGCTGGAATGTCACAGCAGCATAATGAACTCTTCCGTTTATCCTCTGTTAGGAGCCGTGTGACCTTTCCCTTAGTGTCACTCTATCATCTCTAGACTTGAGCATCTTCATGGAGCCAAGGCAGATAGCAAGAGCCAGTGTCCAGTACCACTTGGGACATTCCTTACCACAACATGTGGAAATCTCCAATAGTTTGCCAAACATATATTCAGTTTTCAAATTCTCTGAGCCAAAGGAGACTGTTTGCTCTTTTCCCTTCTTCCCTGCTGATAGGAGACCCAGTAGGGTAAAAATGAACCAGTGTGCAATGAAGTCTCTTCCTCCATACACCATGGATGTCAATAAAGTGTTAACAACAACAACAAAAGTCAGCATTTGAATTCCCTTATAGGATCCCATTTCAATCTTGTAGCATCTCAGTTGAATGAAATGGGATAATTCTTACTGTTCCCATTTCAAAGATAACAGAACAGTGTGGCTTATAGAGGTCCCAGCTTACCCAGCCACAGGAAGGACAGGGGTTGCAAGATCGTCCCCCTGCCTTCTAGACTGCACCTGTTCTCAGCTATACAAAAGCTGCTGAGGGTTGCACATGTGGACAACATGCATCATCTAGACTGCCTGTCACAGCAGAATCTTCTGTAGAGATATAAATGCCATCTCCGCCTCCAGTCACACATGGCTGTTGGGTACTGAAATTCAACCAGTGCTGGCACTCACCTGTTGTTATCCCAGCACTCAGGAAGCCAGGCTGGGAGTACCCGTGAGTTTAAGGCGAGGTCGGGCTACTTATTGCAACCCTGTCTCAAAAAAAAAAAAAAAAAAAAAAAAAAAAAACAAATAAGTAAACTAAAATAAATCTACAGTGCACAGGAAAGCACCATGACAAAGAAGGATCCTCCCCAAAATGTCAGTAGTGGAATGGAGTCACACAGTTCCTTAGTTTGCCCTGGGGGAAGAGGGATCAATGGAGGAGTGGCTGAAAGATTCTTCTTGGCATGGCTAACTACTGTTTCTCTCGCCCTCTTTTTTTCTCCCACTTTGTACAGGAGCCAACGCATCTGCCCCAGACCAACTGAGCTTAGCTTTAGCCTGGAACAGAGTTGACATCGCTCGCAGCCAGATCTTTATTTACGGGCAACAGTGGCCGGTAGAGTATATATACATCGTTACCCCTGAAAAGCCCACGTGCTTGGCAATGGTGTTTAAGGAACCTTTGAAAGTGGCTCAGAAAATTAGGGCGAGGTGTGGGGAGAGGAGAGATCACTCTGTGCTTAGCACAGCATGTGGCCAGGGCACCCCTCTCATGTTTGGGGACATACTGCCACCTAGTGGAAGATATAACTAAGTGCACCCTGGCTCTTCTCAACAATTTTCTGATGCAAATCCTATCTTTTTATTCTATCTTTAACGATACAGACAAGACAAAGTTAAAATAAAGGAAGGAGAAGATTCGTATGTTTCTGGTTATCTTTTAGGACAGCAGAAGGAGGAAGCTGCTGCCGCCAGATGGTGGCGCTCATGCTGGTTTGCAACTGGGCCAGGCCTCTGGGTGCAGGTACCATCTGGTCCTGGTGGCTGAGCACAGGTCTGCCCGATGCCCAGCACAATTGAACCAAAGCTTTATATAACTGTCCGTGGCTTTTTTTCTGTCGCTTGGCTGTCAAAAATAAGAACTTGGGAAATGGGCCATTGGGTGATGTGCACGCGTACCCACGGGTGGCAGCCCAGTAGCAGCCTGGAAGTAATGCTCCCTGAACCTTAGGAGCTCTGGCCGCAACTGAGCACCTGTCTTCCTAGGGTTCACAGACTGCTAGTTGAGGGCATATTCGTCAAGGAATCTGGACGTTGGGGGAAAAAAACATGAAAACTGTAAAAGGAATATATATCCCAGCCAGTACTCCATCTAGAAAACGTGTTGTTCTTTTAGTTAGGTGGCCCCTGTTTGCCTCTGGAGTGCCCATTTCTACATAGAGATTCCAGACCTATTGGACCCTCGGCTCTGTTTACCTTCGTTCCTATCCTCAAGTCAGCCAGGGCTCTCAGTCAGTACCTAAGGAAGAAGAAAATGGAGAGAGAGAGAAGTGTCTAGGATTACCTCTACAGGCATAGCAGATAACTAGCCAGGGAATCCTTCAGGAGGAAAACCTGGGGTCCTGAGGCTCCAGAACAAGAGATTTAGGGGAGAAAGCAGCTCCTAGATCTGGAAGTCCTTGATGTCTGTTTCCCAAGACATGAGTCTTCAGGACCAGGAGGGGCACCTGGAGGGCGGGGTGCTGGGTCTCTCTCATTGGCACATGTCCCTGATCTGTTTCAAGCCCTCTGGGTGAGCACTGAGGAACTGCACTTCTCTGCTGTGGGCAGACTAACTGAATGTCTTGGATTACAGGTAGGGTCCCTGGAGCAAGCCATGCTGGATGCCCTAGTCCTGGACAGAGTGGATTTTGTGAAATTACTCATAGAGAACGGAGTAAGCATGCACCGTTTCCTCACCATCTCCAGACTAGAGGAACTGTACAACACGGTAGGGCCAAGCTAAGATGCCTTTCAGCCTCTGGTTTTCTTCTCTTTGTTTACCTTCTCCTGCCTTGCCCCCCATGCCTGTGACTCTGTTCCTGTCTCTCCTGTAATGCATGGATCCTTCCTCACATGCACTCCCTTACACCTGGAGAGCCAACAGACACCAAGTCCCTGGGACTTTGCTTGTTCTAACTGCTCAGTTGTCAGCATCTTAGGCAAAAGGGGATGTGATCATCAGAGGGCACTGTTCTCAGATTCTAACACAAAACCACCAGCAAGTCTCTGTCTACCAGAACACGTGTAATCTGTAAGCCCAGGGAGTGTTTGGGACAAATGTTGCAGAGGAGGGTTGGTTTAGCACCAAGCACCCAAGCAGGCTGATGAAGTATCATCCTGTATCGTTTTGTCATCCCCAGAGCAATGAAGTTCATTTTCCCCGCGATAGTATAAAGTATCTTCGAGTCATCCAAAAATGTTTGTGGTGGTGGTTGTTCTTTGCAGTGGCAATTCGCTGAACAAGCCAACTGAGTTTAAAGAGCTGATGTTGTGTTTTACCATTTTACAGATGAGAAAACTGAGGAGGTCTTAGTCTCTTTGTGCTGCTACAAGAGAATACCTGAGGCTGGGTAATTTATGAAGAGCATATATTTATTTCTTTCTCACGGTGCTGGAGGCGAGGCTGGAAGTCAAGATCGAGGGGCCACTAGGTTCATTATATAGTGAGGGCCATTCTCTCTTCCCAGAATGTATCCACTGCAAAGGACAAACACTGTCCTCTTAGGGCAGAAGGGTTGGAAGTGTGGAAGTGTGAGCCCTCTTCTGTCCAGACCTCAATTCAGCTTACAAAGTAGATACCCTTGTGACTAGATCACCTAAGAGCCCCACCTTTCCACACCTCTGTACTGATATAAAGCTCAACATGAATTTTGTGGAGTCATGGAAGTGTAAAGCATAGTCAGAGGCAAGAAGTAATTTATAGAAGGACCTAAATCTCTGAATAATAACAACAAAAAGAGCCCAGTACCAAACCCAAGCCTCTTCTCAGAAGTTTCTTTTCCACACACTGGATACAATGTCTGTCCCAGCACCATGAGTGCAATGTGATAGAGTTATGGACTCAAGAAGGTAGGTAACAGATAATAGCAGTGTGCTTCATCTTAACGCCACTAAAGGAAGGAAGCCAGCTGGCAGAGTGGGTCCAGGTTTCCGCTTTCTCTGCAGCCTTGTCTTGCCTCAACACACTGAGATTTACAGTGAGAAATAAATACACCTGGGCATCATGACTTAGGTATCAGTTAGACAGTGATGGGAGTGGAAAGGTTCTTTCCAAAGTCTAGAAAAGAAGGAAAGAATGAAAGAACCCTGTTCCTAGACCTTAGACCAGCAGGTTTCATTACTCAGATCAACTGGTGGTGGTCACCTGCAGTACCGTGTTGAGAAAAAACATGGGACAGCAAATGACAACAATAATAATAATGCTATCTATCATTTGCTGAATGCTGAGCACAACGTAGCAGCTTTATAAAGAAGTGTTGCATCACTGAGTCGTCAGATAGCCCTATCAGATGAAGTGATGTTATTCTCCTCACTGTAATGAGGAGAAAGTGCATCACAGCAGGCTCTGCGATGCCTGTATGCACAAGCAGGGTTGGGGCCAGGAATCTCAGCCCCAGAGCATTATCACTGTTTTAGATCCTTCAACCATGTTGCCAGATTTAGCAAATACCTGCAGCACACCAGCAAAATTTGGTTTTCAGATATGCAATGATTGTTAGCATAAATATGGTTGTCCTTCATGTCTTCATAGGATTCATTCTAGGAGTTACCACAAAAGAAAAAATTACCTTTAAATGCTCAAATTCCTCATCTAAATGACAAAACCTACACACATCACCCATTTTTTTTTTAAGTAACCTCTCTCTGGAAGCTAAATAATGAAGCAGCTAAACCAGGGACTTTATACTCTCATATACAATACCCAATACAAGGTAAATAGTTATTGGCCTGTATCGTCTAAGGCAGTGTTTCTCAACCTGTGGGTCATGACCCCTGTAGGGGTTGCATATCAGCTATTTACATTATGATTAATAACAGTAAAATTACAGTTATGAAGTAGTTACAAAATAATTTTATGGTTGGGGTCACCACAACATAAAGAACTGTATTAAAGGGTCACAGCCCTAGGAAAGTTGAAAACCAATGATCTAAGGAATGATAAGAAAAATACCTGTACATATTCAGTACACACACAACTTCCCACAGATATTTTCAATCCAGTTGGTGGACTCCACAAATACAGACATCATGAGTATGGAGGGCTGACTATATATTCCCAATATTGTATGGGGCATCATTGCTCATTTGAAATTCAAATTTCATTGGGTATTCTGTAGTTTACTTAGCATCCCTCCTCCTGAGAGTCCAGAGAATAACAAATCATCTACTTTATTCTAAGCCTCAATACATGCACACCCTTTCCTGACCTCTTTTTCCCCGGCTAGCTTATGACTTTTCCTAAAGTCAGATGTCAGGGAGATACCACAAGTCCACTATTTCTGTACAGCCTGGGAGTGGTCACCTCCCACTTATGGATGACTTTCTTTTATATTGAATTGCTGAAACAACCAAAGGAAGCCACAATATTCTATGACATGTTAAAATTTATGAAATCTGGCCAGATAGAGTAGCATCTACGTGTAATCCCAGAATTCAGAAGGCTGAGGCGGGAGGGCTATGATTTTGAAGCCAGCTGGGATTACACAATAAAAACTCTCTCCTAAAAGAATTATATGGAATTTGATTTTCTGTGACCATGAATAAAGCTTTATTGAAACATAGCCAAGATCACTCATTTATGTATAGCTGCTTCCACACAATAATAACAGCTAAACAGATTTGAGAAGACTGCATAGTCCGCAAACATTCACTATTGACTTCCTGGCCTTTTGCAGAGAAAGCAGGCCAGTGCATGTTTGAGACAAGTTTTCAATGACAACTTGGAAAACTACATTAAATAAAATTAAGACATTTCTATGGCAATGTGTCAAAAACCCCTCTGCTCTCTCTTGCTAGAAAACTAGCTCTTTCCACACCATTTGGCCCAGGTAACTATTAGTTGATAATCAGCCTTACAAAGCTTGAACCTACAGTTTCAAACACATTTCGCTGGAGAACATGTGATCCAGAAATCCAGCCAGCCTTGGTTTCAAAGTCACAACCACAACTGAGCAACTAGAGCAAGACCCAGAACAAAGAGCTGCCCTCCACCAGCCAGCACCCTTCCTTCCAGCTCCCTCTCACGTCACCACCTGGAGCCCCTGACGAGCAAAACTGTTTGATTGTTCTTTATCATTTTCAGAGACATGGGCCCTCAAATACATTGTACCACTTGGTCAGGGACGTCAAAAAGGTAAGAATCCTCTAGACCACAGGTCAGAGGCCCTGTGCTGAGTGCTTCCTGTCATAGACTGTACCCGTTGTGCATGAGCTGCCTAGTCTTCATGTCCCTGCCGGCCCCCATCGTTGCAGAGCAATGTATGTGCATCTGCTTGGTAGCTTGGACACCTCTGCTGACGATGCCGCTGTGGTCCTTCCTCCAGTCACCATGGTTTTAGATGCTTTTATTGAGTGTAATGCTTTTCTATAGCAGATTCCAGGCTCTCCCCCATGCCAACGTGGATTTATGTCATTACCTACGTCTTTCCAAATGCCCCTTACTGCTTGGGGAGTTAGTTTCCATGGTAGCTTACCACATGAAGTACCTTCCTGCCAGCTCCTCACAACATCCTATCTACCTTCATATAAAGTATAGTCAGAAGCTGAGAAAAGGTGGCTCATCTAGGCATTTCATCCTCACAACACTTTATTTTTCCAAAATATGTTTTACGTACATCTATCCATTTGATTTTTTTTAAAGCTGGTGGGTGCAAGTGAGTTATTCACAGTTTATGGAGGAGGCTGAAGGGTAAGGAGGTGATGACCAAATGCAGTGATTGGTAACATGCTAATATCACCACAGATCCTTTATCAAGGAAAAGTAGCAATGAGTGAGGCCTACTAGTGATGGGTACCCAGGATTCCATAGGCTTTCTACACACCGGAATTCATTTGCTCGCCACAAAAACTGTCTGAAGGGGGGCTGGAGAAATGGCTCAGTGGTTGAGAGGACTGACTGCTCCTCCAGCACCCACACGGCAGCTCACAACTGTCTGTAACTCTAGTTCCAGGGAACCCAACACCCTCACACAGACACATGTGTAGGCAAAACACCAATGCACATAAAATGAAATAAATAAATTTTAAAAAACTGTCTGAAGTAGGGTTATAATGTCTTTATTGCTGTTACATAATATTCTCATGTAAAGTTGAACATGAGGAGGTCATGTTTAACCATAGCACGTACTTGCATCTTTTGCCCAAGTCTCTTTTAAGAGTGTCTTGACTTCAGAACCTTTAACTCCAAAGAACAAAACAGACATTGTAGACCTTCCCTATCTCCTAGGAATGCTACAGTACTACCCCAGAACCCAAGGACATACTTAGAGAAATGATCTGGACCAGCAGGTCATTCTTCAGTGGCAGGTTCTTGAGAGGGAGGACCATAGGATCAGAAATGAAGAAGCTAGGAAAGTTGGGATCAGGAAGTCTTGCACAAGCTATATCACATGCCAAGCAATCTAATTAAGTGCAGCACCTTATACACAGTGTGCAGGAAAAAAAATGAGAGCGTCATCAGGAAACTATCATACAACAGGATAGAGTCAGAAAGGAGCTAATCAAGCTGCCCAAAGGGAACAAGGGGTGTTTCAAGTGCACCCCAGACTCGGCAGCCTTGACTGATCATCACAGCCCTTCAAGAAGGGGAAGGAAGGGTTTTCTCAGGATTAGAAACCTCAGTTCTCCCAGAGTCCTGGCCCCGAGTCATTGCTGGCCTTGCCAAGCATGTTCCAGGTTTTAGACAAGAAACTAAGTTCCTTCTCCATACATCATGGACTCAGGGCAAGTCCTGGACTGGTTTGATTCTCAACTGAGAATCAAAAGTACTGGATAAGTACATCATCTCATAGAAAGTCTCACCTGGACTTGACCCTTAGCGAACTGTAAGCAACTTTTGATATAGTCTTCAAAGTGCCAGAGGCTGTGGGAGCTGATTGTAATTAGCCTCTTTTAACTGACTGGGCCTTAGTTAAGAATGAGTAAAAGATATAAGAACAAAAACAAAATCCATATACACTTTTTTTCCTTTGCTACTCCAAACCTTCCTTCCAGCTCCACACAACCATAATGAGGACTGTCCAGCTTTCTGAGCAAAGCCTGTAGCCCTTGAACTCAAGAAAAGCAGACCCTGTGCAGCCTGTTTACCCAAATCACCTCTTTATGAGATCCCAGCTTTCCTCAGACTGGCCCATTCCAAGCCACAGTGGCCTCTGTGCCTCCAGCAAACCCCTTTCCTTCATACATTCTCCTTTTGCTTAATTTATCCTGACTTAAATTTTCCTGGAAACTAAACTCGGGTGATTAGGGTCCCACATGCTCAACATATTCATTGAAAAGCATTTGACTCTCATGTTCAAGAAATTATTTTGAGTGTTTCTAAAATAATAGATAAGATACCATCTCCTCACCTCAGACTAGTCTGTGTCCAGCTAGAATGTGGAACTTTCTGATAATATAGCTATGCTTCGGTCCCAGAATCTCATCCATCAGCCAACCCAAGCCTTGGAACGAGTCACACATGCATTTTCCCTGCCCCCTTTCCCAGCAGTAAGGTCTTGCCTGATCTTCAAGGAGATTTTTGAAGTTATAGTTCCTTGAGTATAAATGATCAAGATTTCTCATATTCCTTTCTCTTCTCCATAGATTTCCACTTTGCAAGACCACTATCCATTAGCTGAAGCTCCCTGAGCTGCCTCCTGCATTTGCTCATATTGAGAGTCTTATTAGAAGGCATGCAGCATACCCTTAGAGTACTTTCTTCCCCCTTTAAAGCTTCTTAGCTGTTAACATACCTTGAAAACGCTATAGATTGATAAGAAAAGGATGTTAAGAACATGGGAGGAAGGGCTGTGAGCTAAGAGCAGACCTTTAAGAGTAACAGGATAATAGAGCGAGAGGGTAGTTAGGTGAGCATTCATTTATTCACTGACTTAGGAACCAGAGGAAATGACTTTAAAACTCACCCAGAATAGCTCTGAACTGGCCTAGAAACAGTCTCTCCTCTCACTTGGAGAGCAGACTGCCAGTAAGAGGAGAGCAAAGACAATGCCTGTGTTCCGTTTCTTCTCCTGAAAAAAAGTAGAAACAAGAAATGAAGACTCCTGTCTCTGATAAGAGGAACCTCTGGCTATTGGAAGAAAGGAAGGTATAGCCTTTTCGCCAGCAAAGGAACCAGACATAACAACAGTTTATGATCATGGATGAAATGAGCTGAAAATGGGACTCTTTGTTGTGTGTTTCTCAAAGATGTGAAAGGGAAAGAAATTAGCATCTGGGCGCAAATCTCTCCCATGGTCCCATATGACTTTTCCTAATTTAGACCAAGTACTTACTCTGGGGATTCAAAAATCTAGGTTTAAAAATCTAAGAATGTCTTAGGACATTGAATTTTTAAAATTAAAGAATATAATGAGTAATAAGGGCCTCCTTCCTTATAGGTATATATATATTTTTCTGTGAAAATTTTAACCAGTAGTCATTATATACATAATATATTCATATACACACACATGTACATGAATTAGAAACATAGCTCTGGACCTTAAATGTATTATCTAGTGAGATACCTCTAAATTAAATGTAAATGATGTCTACAAACCCAAGGATACATTTTGTGATTATCACATCACCATAAGCCAATCAGGTCATCTCCAAGCCCAGTTGTTCTTTGTAACCTACAGAAATGAGTGAGGAGAAATGCTTCCAAGCTAGTCAAGATCTCAAATTCTTTTATAGCTAGAGAACAGTCTATAAGTAATGTGGTAAAGAATTGCATTCTCCATCCACCAGGAGTTTGATACAAGCCACACCAATTCCGTGAAGCAGTTGCATGCATAAATCCATCAACTCTACTCATGGCTTTCCTACTAGACTAGTGGCGCAAGTCTGTCTGCACTTCTGTAAAACATAACCCGCCATTTCAGTAGCTGCCTGCTCAGTCTGTGGCTCCGGATGTTTTAAGCAGTAGTTTCTCTTTCGTCAATTTATATGTGCTAATACTTCAGATTCTCTGTGCTGTCCTTCACCGCCAGAAGAGGGTAATTTGAGTACAATACAGGGCCATGGTGAAATTAAGATTTAAAGTCCATTTACATGGGAACTAAGACCCAGTTTTGCTGAATACAAAAGAGGGGAAAATAGACAAAGGGAAAGGAGGGAAGGGGGAAGAGAGGGAGAGAGGAAGAAGGAAAGAAGGAAGGAAGGAAGGAAGGAAGGAAGGAAGGAAGGAAGGAAGGAAGGAAGGAAGGGTTTTTGAAACTTTGGGTAAGAAAAGGAGATTTTCATAAGCCCATATGATAAATTCATGCAAATTTGTAGGAGCATTCTTATTTTAAAATAATTCATTGCCTGGTTTTTTACTTTGCTAGTCTACTAAACCGTGGGTAACTGCCTTTCTTCCTGAGTGCTCCCCAGACTGAGTCCTATCCAGTGACGATTTTCCCCGTCAAGCCTGTCCCCCAAGTCTTTTCCACAGTCTCCTTTGGTGAACCTGAAAATCAGCAATCATTTAAGACTTTCCACATCCTGGAGGAAACAAGATTGTCTTCAAGGCTTGTTATGAATTTCAAAGGAAAAAAAAATCAATGTTCCTAAATAGTTAAAATCTGACAGCCATACCATGAGCTGACACTCAAAGACAGTTCATTTTGAAGAGCAGATTCAACTTGTGAGTTTGAACTGCTCTCGAGGACATCTTTAAGCATGGCATGACTTAAATTTTACCTTGAAGTAATGGTTCATAGCATGAAGGCAACATTTTCAAGTTGTCAACCTGCCTCCCAATCCTCTCTATTAAATCACTTGAATCTCGGGACCTACCCTGTGTTGTTAAGGCATGAAATGGGAAATCATTCTTGAGGCTTTGCCCATTACTGAAGTCATGACCCACAGGGTGGGGACAGGACTAGGAAACAGCAGACAGAATAAGAATGACTCTGGTATCATTTTTTTTTTAATTCCAAAGCAAAGGAAGACTCCTCCAGAAGGCTGTTGTCGCTACCTGTTGGGCATTCAAGGTGCCATTCACCCTCTTTGCCTCCTCCAGAGCAGGGGAAGGGAGGGCACAGGTCTATCCACATGGGTTCCTTGACCACCCCCAACCCCACACACCAAACTCCAGGGGACACCAACCTTGAGCATTCTGCACAAGGAACTTTGCCCAATGGAGAGCAGTAGAAAATAAAAGCAGTTGATGGGTGCTAATTAACAGTTGGGCTTTTAGAAACATGTGGAGCCTGAGGAGCAATGGTCCATGTCACCTGATTTTAGAGCATAAAGTGAGATACAGAAAGGATAGAGTCACATGGGGTTGAGCTAACAGAGTCTAGCCCATTGCTGTTTGCCCTGAGGACTCATGTCTCTGGCCAGAATTCTTGACATAAATACATGAAAGCTCCCCTTCTGTCCAACAATTGTGTCCTGGGATAAGCAATATAGATGATTTGTCATTGATGTGTGCAGACCACACCAAGTCAAGGCCATCATCCTCATCATCATGAAGCGAGGCTGCCATTCTCTTTAGAGCCTACCCAGGACATAGTTACCCCAACCAGGGGAGATGAGGAAAGAGAGTGTAGCTACTTAATTTCATTGAAGAGAACATAACACAAAAAGCCCAACCCAGGCTGGATCCCAGCCACATCAATTAATTTCATTGTTTCATTGATACATATTTTCAACAACAAAAATCACAAGAACCAACCACACCCCACATGTTATAAAAGGCATGACAAGTATAAAGATATAAAAAATATTCAAGAAAAATTTAAAACTATAGGTCTAATGACAGGCTACATTGAAGCCTCCTTTAACCAATTCGATGGATTTCCTACCTACAGAGATTCCCATATCACACTCTGGAGATCCCCAGGCGAACTGCCATTGCCACCTGAGCCTTAGGTGGTAGAGAAGAGGTTCCAAAAATCCAGGCTTGCATCAGAAGCCACCCGAGGAGGCAATGAGGCATACAGATGCCCAACACACTGAAGTAGGTAGGACACAGTCTAGACCTCCACATAGTCACTGAATTCCCCACAGTGTGTATGATATAGGCCATCACTGGCAGAGGATGCTGGCCTGCATCTGGAATTAAGCCAGGCAGTGAGAGTTGCCAGTCAGTCATCTATGCCCTCTTCAATTCACTGTGCATCCCTTCTTCCTTGACTTAACAGAGTGAAGAGTTTCCTTGGGCTCAAAGAATCCTCTTTTGAACCATCTGTATGAACAAGTCCCTGTGTCCCATTCCTAGAACCAGCACTCAAAAAAAGAATGTTTTTAATAAAAACTGAAAGACACACCATACTTCTGGGTCTTTAGAAATGCTACTTTCTGGCTAGAGATGTGCCTCAATGTTAAAATGCTTTCTTAGTATGTACAAAGTCCTGGGCTCCATCCTAAATGCCCTCCCCGCAACCAAACAAAGCTATTTTGCAACAAAAGGTGACAAAACCACCTTAACTTTGTGAAATTTTTAATTCCAATGTTAAAATTTCTTCTCCTGTCACACTTCACACACACACACACACACACACACACACACACACACACACACACACACATCCCCTTTAAGCACAAGGGACACTCATAGAGCTCCATTCTGACACTATGAAATGCTTACCCTGTTCCCCATTATTTATTATGGGCTGGGGGTGGGCCAGTGTATGTGAGCAGCTAACAGAGGAGGTCTTGTGTTCAAGTAGAATTGATATTCTCTAAGTGGTCCTCGCCCTGGTAGCGACACTCATCTTCTGAGAGGAGCCTTCCTTTTGTGAGTGGGGAGAAAACAAAGGGCCTGCAAGAGACAGGCCTGGGTCAAGAGAGAGGCTCAGGAGCATCGGGGGACCCTGCATCTAGAAGCTGGGAATGATAGCCCTTGCCTTGTCTAGCCTGTGTTTCTTTCTGCTACACTGGTGTTTTTTTCTCCCCAGCTGAAGACTTGAATAAATAATTTGATTTTCTGTTATTGCCGGCGATTACCACATCTTCTTATTTAACTTATGTCTTCTTTCCAAGCGAGAGTATCCAGGTTTCGGTTGGATCTATTTTAAGGTGAATTAATTAACCAGCATAATAATACATTCATGTTTCTTTTTTCATTATAATTTTTACTCTAAAATAGTTACAAAACACTTGCCATTGAACCCTTAGTAAACCACGCCGTCTTTTTGGGTTTGTCTGTTGTTCTCTTCCTCCCCAACAGGGAAACCTGCCCCCGGACTACAGAATCAGCCTCATAGACATTGGCCTGGTGATTGAGTACCTGATGGGCGGGGCTTACCGCTGCAACTACACGCGCAAGCGCTTCCGGACCCTCTACCACAATCTGTTTGGCCCCAAAAGGGTGAGCTTCTAGCATGATCTTAGGCTGTTTGGGGAAGACTAGGGACCAGAGATTTGGGGTATTTGGCCTCTTGTCTCCAAGGGAAAATGAATTGAAAAGACAGAAAGTGCACCTCCCTCCTTTTCCATTCAAACTATTGAAATGTATTTAAAATACTGGCCAAACAGATTCTATCTGTTGTTTTCCGTGAGGTGACAGTCCCACCTTGGTCATCCTAAAAGCGTCTGTGTGGTGCTGCAGTCTCTCTGCTAGTCTTTCCTTCAAATAAAAATGATTTTCCATTGGGGGGAGGATTTTCCACTGGGGGAGGATTTGTTTTTTGTTTTGTTTTGTTTTGCGGTTTTTTTTGTTGTTGTTTTTTATTTTGATTTTTGTTTTCTATTTTGCATTTTTTATGTCTGCAACTCAATTCCAGAAGAAAACTGCACTTTTCCACGGGAATCATTGGGTCAGTCTGTGGCAAAAGTGGTCCAGGAAGGGACAGCTTCCACTTATATCCCACAGGATGGTAATAGGGCATGTCTAGACCATGTCTTCATGGGTCGATTTAGCCAATGATTGCAATGTTTACGTCTTGAGGACATTCTTAAGTGAAGCTGTTTTGAGTTTTTGTTGGTTGGTTGGTTGGTTTGCGGTTATTTAGTTGGTTTGTTTTGTGCTTAGCCATGGGATCTAAGGACAGTAGCCAAGCTTCTCCACCGCCCTTGTGCACGTCAAGCTTAGGGCCCCACAGCTTTGGGCCGCTGGCACTTTCATGAACACAGTGGAATCTCAAAGGCGTGTTACTACTAGAAACATAGCTTGGACTTCACTCCCTGAAAGGGGTTGGGGGACCCTGAGGACCCCAAAATGACATTCCAAAAGCTGCCAGTCTCAGCTGGTAGTGGGCATGATTATTTCTTTTTTCTCTCTTTTAAAAAAAATGTTTATGATTTTCTTAATGTTTGAGTTTTATGGTTTTCCCTTTATTTTATGAAGTTTTTGGTTTTGTTTTTCTGGTTTTTTGTTTGTTTTGTTTTGAACAAAGCTTTCACTAATGAAAGTATTTTGTGGGGCTATTAGAAAACCGGGAGAGGGGGAACAAAAAGTTTGAAGAAAGACAAAAAACTTAGACTTGTGGTAATTTTAGAAAGAGAAAAGAAGGGAGACAGCTTCAAGCTATTCTAACTTATATAATCACATCAAATTCGCAGGAACTGTCAGCTCATAATTCTTATGTCCTCAGTAGCTTCCAGAATGACACCCACTGCTCCGATGCACTTAGAACACAGAATTGGAACTCCTGGCCCATGGGTGTGATTTTGTTCTCTCATTCTTAAATACAAAGCAAGTTCTATAATTCCCGAGTGGCCTTCTCTGTGGCCTTCAGGTGTGCCCTTTTACACGTTCCAACATGGCCAGGGAAGCCACTTCCTGTGTGCTGATGTTCCCCAGCCATGGGGCCACTTGTACCTCCAGCAGCACCTACTGTGGCCCACACACCCTCGCTCTACTGTGCAGCGCTGGAAGACAGCCAGAGGAAGCAGCTAAACAAACGTTTTGAATTATACCCCACGTCTCTGCATGATAGTTTTCCAGAGGTTTGAGAAATATCTGGTTTGATCTGTTGATTGTTTCATTGTTTATGTCTTCTTCTCTGCTCAGACTGCTGTGACAAAATACCATAAGCTCATAAACAACATCAACATACGGCCCACAGCTCTAGGTTCAAGAACAGGGTACCAACAGACTGACTTTATGCTGAGGGCCTGTTTTCTGCCTCACAGATGGCACTTTCTGGCTGTGTCTTCACACGGGAAAAAGCAAACGAGCTCCCATCAGCCTTTTTGATAAGGATGTAACTTTCTCTTAGAAGGTGTCTTCCATCATGACCTAACACTGTCCCCCAAATATCCACCCCAATACCAACACCTTGTCAGTTAGAATTTCATCATGTGTTGGGGACGGATGAGGAAGAAAACATTCAGACCATAGAACTTATTGAAGTGCTGGATGTCCTGGAGGTACCACTCAAGTGGACAGTTATAGGGAAGGGAAAGAAACTTCAACCCACAAAAGTCATTGTAAGCCTTCAATTATATCACCTCAGTTTCCTAATTCACTGTGGTTCACCAAAATCACAACATCCCTAATTCTCCTAAAAAAATTTTTTTAAAAACATATTCCTTCTATTGTGTTTACTCAGTGACATAAAATTAATGCTATATGATAGATACCATAGAGTTCTTATATTACTTATTTGCAATATAGTAGAATTCGTTTCTTACCTCAATGAAAAAAAATCTAACTTTGTTCACAACGTTTTTTTAAACAGCCCAAAGCCTTGAAACTGCTGGGAATGGAGGTTAGTGTTTGCTCAAATTATTAGTGTCGATTATTCTTTTTCTCACATATTTAAAAGATATATGAGTTCATTTTAATAGTAAGGCCTAGTGCATGATTCTAAAACAAGGAAATAAAGATTCTCCAAGTGCCATGGTAGCAGCTCACAGTAGCTTTTAAAATTCCACAATGAATTTATGTTAGCATTGGGGGAAAACAAAAATAAATAAATCCTATTGTAAATACTAACTTGAAAACCAAGTATATAAACTCCATAGGCAAAATTAATTAGAAAGATTTACAAATGGCAACAGATTCAAAGACTTTCACAGATGCTTCTAATAGGGATGCAGAAACTTGAGCAGTTTTGTTCCCATCTTTGGTTCATTGTTTATTGTTGTTATGTGAAAACACGAGTATAGAATACCTTGCTTTTTCAGAAAAAAAGAAAGAAAAAACATGGTAATGCTGTCCGTCATGAGATATAGACAGCCACACCTATGGAAGAAGAACGGACAAAAGTAAACAAACAAACCAAAAAAGAAAGAAAGAAAGAAAATGGCCTATGAAAATATCTTTGGAATTTTTGAGACAGATTCTCATTATGTAGCCCAGCCTGGCCTCGAACACTCATCCTCCCGTTTCTGACTCCAAGGTGTTGCTGGGATTTTAGGGTTTCACCACCATGCCCAGCTTAGAAAATGCTTTGTTTTGTTTAAAGTAAAGCATAAACTGACATGTTGGTAGTTGAGTATGCCTTTCTAAGTCTTATTTTTAAATTAGCCCCAAAGGAGCTTGTGAGTCTCTTTAGGATAAGAACTGGTCTGGTCCATTTCAGTGTGATTCTAGAGCTGAGCCAATGGAAGCTATACATAAAGTATGTAATGAACTAATGATTCACTTTCCACTCAGCCTATACTTGTTTCTCTAAATTTGCAGGATGACATTCCCTTGAGGAGAGGAAGAAAGACAACCAAGAAGCGTGAAGAAGAGGTGGACATTGACTTGGATGACCCTGAGATCAACCACTTCCCATTCCCCTTCCATGAGCTGATGGTGTGGGCTGTCCTCATGAAGAGGCAGAAGATGGCCCTGTTCTTCTGGCAGCATGGAGAAGAGGCCATGGCCAAAGCCTTGGTGGCCTGCAAGCTCTGCAAAGCCATGGCTCACGAGGCCTCTGAGAATGACATGGTTGATGACATTTCCCAGGAGCTGAACCACAACTCCAGGTTGGCTAGCCATTCCTGAAGAGGGTGGGGAAGAAGGAAAGGTAGACTCCAAATGCCAGAAGTTCTGAGCTCCACAAAAGCTTATGGGGTAACAGAGTCACCCCACTAGAGCACACAGAGAGTGGGCACAGTAATTTACCCTTACTGTGCACAATGCTGCATAAAGGTACAGAGAGATTACATTGATTTCATTCATCCTCTCAACTGCCCCAAGCAACAAGTCATATCATCATGTACTTCATCCAGTTAAGGATATCATCCCTCAGAGAATTTAAGTAACTTGGCTGTGATCATATATGTTTGGCAATAACAGGGTTTGAATTTGAGGTCTGTCACATTTAAGAAGACACACTACACTCTAATCATTGGTTGATTATTCTGCCTCTATCCTCACATGTCTTGAACTGGGGGTCTTGAGTGCAGGAATCAAGCTTCGACTTAATATCTTCAGTTCTAGACATAGTATCTAGCACATAGTGAATACTTAAAGGATGTTGACTGGGTGGTTTTGTGAATAGACTAAACCTTACATGAAACAGCTACTCACACAGCAAGCTACCTTTTATAATTGAACAGTGGGGCCTATCTTTGTTCATGGAAGTCTCCAAGTTGGCCTGAATGATTCTCATATGCCTTGTCTTTCAGGGACTTTGGCCAGCTGGCTGTGGAACTCTTGGACCAATCCTACAAGCAAGATGAGCAGCTGGCCATGAAACTGCTAACGTATGAGTTGAAGAACTGGAGCAACGCCACATGCCTGCAGCTGGCTGTGGCTGCCAAGCACCGTGACTTCATTGCACACACGTGCAGCCAGATGTTGCTCACTGACATGTGGATGGGCCGGCTCCGCATGCGCAAGAACTCAGGCCTCAAGGTCAGCATACCTAAAAAAGATCTGTTGCCATAGAGTCCAAGGGTTGGTTGGCATTTTCTGAGCCAAATCTATGGTGGGTCTAGGGGTTATCTTGTGTTGGAAGGTGGTGTTAACCCACCACCATTCATTAGAATCTCCGTAGAGATGTGACTTTCATTTAGAGTCAAGGATTTGAACTTGAGGTCTGTCACATTTAAGAAGGCAGTCTGAATACACTCTAGTCATTGACTGATTGTTCTGCCTCTACCCTCACAGGCCGTGGATTGGGGGTCTTGAGGGCAGATCTTGAGGTCTATTAAACTAAAATCTTGTCTCAGATCCAAAGATGCAGAGTACACAAAGGTCCCATAGGGGCACTGTACACTCTTGCACAGCCGTGCTACCACAGGAGTCTCACCTAAGCCACGCTTCAGTGCCCTGTGAGGCTGAATACCCTCCTGGTCCCACCAAGACTATCCTTGCATTACATCATATCATAGAGACATGGGCTCTGGTAGCATGGGCTTGAGAAACTTTAACTGAACTAAAGCTGAGATAGATTTGTCTATCAAGACATTACTCACTTAAAAAAAAAGTTTGAAATCAAACCTAGAACCTCACACATGCCAGTGAGCTACATCCCTAGCCCCTGATCTATTCTCAAATGAGGGAAAGCAAGTCACAGGCCAGTCTACACATCCCAAGTTCATTTTAAGAGTCTGTATAGAGATAGCTATATAGATTAACTAAGGAAAAACAAGAAGAAGATATGTAGTTAATCGTTTGTAGCAATTCTCTTGGGGATTGAACAGACCGTATATGGGACTTGTTCTTAAGAACAGAAAGTTGGGTGGAAGCTTTTACCTTATTCCTTTGAGAGAAGATCCCAGGGCCCCACACATACTGGGCAAGCTCTCACCATTGGGTTATACACTCAGCTCAGTCTTTGCTTCCTCTAATCCTTTTCAGTGATTTTCAAAAAAAAAACAAAACGTAAAGTGAAAGAATTCTTAAAAAGAGAGAGAAATGAACAAGAGAAAAATGGAAAGGGGTTTGTTTGGTTTAATTTTTATGATGCCAGTTTTTAATTATTTTTATTATTTTATTAATTAATAATTATATTTAAGATACCAATATGATTCTTTAACATACACAGTGAAATAACTACCAGAGTCAAGCAAATTGGCATATTCATCGTCTTGCAGTTACCCTTTTTTGCGTGTGGTAAGATTGGCTGAAATCTACTCTCTTAACAAATTACTAGTATACTGTATGACGTCGTGACCATGTTGCTCATGATACGCACAAGCTCTTTAGACTCACACCACAATTCTGCATCCTGCCCTCTTTGATGGTTGTCTTCCACTCCACCTTTCTTGTGGGCTCTTGGCCTGAAGTTACAAAAATGGTTCTATGAAGTGGGTCATGTACTACATTCCAGAGTCAAGCTGCTAGTAGCTGCCAGGCTTGGCCTCAAGTAGAGAGCTAAGCAGGTTCTCAGCCACGAGGACAGGACATTGTACCCTATGAAGATTGCCAGCATGACATTTGAGCCTCCCAAAGCACCTGTAATTCAGAGTCATTTCTGACCCTTTTCTCCTGACTGGCCCTAAGTCCCCATGGGTGTTTCAGAACCACAGGACTGCCCCCGTGGAAGCATGATACTCACTGACCCCTCAGGATTTGTCTGAGTCCCTCCCCTCGGTGCAGTATTGGCGAAATTATTAAGGCCATTCCACGTAGTTAAAAGGAAGATTTATTTAGTGGGTAACTTACAAATGAAGGGATAGGTAGGTCCCGGGGTCTGGGGAAGGTGTATCACAGTCCAGCGGTGTTTTCTGGAGCTCTGCTCAGTCAACCTCCACCGTCCAGGGTCCCAGAACAGAGAGAGCGAGCGCTGGCCCATCCCGAACTCGGGTCTCTCTGCGCCTCCCTTGGCCCTGCCTTGTAGGCGTGACAGTTGCTGAAACCTCAATGGGGGTTGGAACTTCCAGATCAAAGCTGGAATGGCTACCCACTACAGTGCAGTGTCTTCAAGAAGGCTCTTCTTAGGGAGCCTTGTGCACTGGAGCCATTTTAGAATTGAGAGAAGCTAGGGAAGCCACTGTCTTCTGCTGATGGAGGAGATTGCTCCGCCATGAAGAAAGACCTATGTAACGAGCATCCTGACACTGAGCTCCACACAGTGTTTACCCATGAGAGCGAGGCAATGTTGGCCTTCCTGGGGCTTTTATGTGAGGAGACCAACTATGCTTGACGAATACAGAGATCTCTGTGGGGAGGGATGTTTCTGCCTGTACATTAGCTAATGCCAGCAGAATGTTCCAGGGTAGATAAAATGATTTTCTACATGCTCCTTCGAGGTACAATACTTTACAGAGATCATCAGCTAACACATCACCTCTGCTTGATATATTCACAAATAAATGCCAGTACGTGTACGAATTGATTTTACAAGGCCAAGTGCTGTCTAACGACTAAATGGAGATCTCATATTTTTCCACCTTTGCTTTGAATAAGTAAGCTCTCTTTCCTCAGTGTCTCCCATAAAGTAAGAATTAATAGGATAAGATATATTTGGACAAAATAAGTATTTCCGAGATGGTCCAAAAAGTCACCTTCTTGTGTGTTTAGATTTCCAGGTATCCACATTCCTGTACAGCAAGTCCAACACCTGCGTGTGTGCATGTATGTGCACACACACACACACACACACACACACACCACACACACACACTCATATGCCACACCCCAGGCTCTCTGATGCTAAGCAACCACCCTAATCTTAATCCTTTAAATGTGATTATTATTATTATCATTGTTATTGCTTTAGGTAATTCTGGGAATTCTACTTCCTCCTTCAATTCTCAGCTTGGAGTTCAAGAATAAAGATGACATGCCTTATATGACTCAGGCCCAAGAAATTCATCTCCAAGAGAAGGAGCCAGAGGAGCCAGAGAAGACCACAAAGGACAAAGACGAAGAGGACATGGAACTCACAGTAAGAATAACACCATGCGGTTTTTCTGCCTGGGGTGACTCCCGCAGTCCACTCACACATTCATACTGCCGAGGTTCAATCATGCTTGAGAGAAGGGTTCCCCAGCCTCCTGCCGGGTCTAATCACGTGTGAGACGATAGTATCCTAAAATTTTCCTCTTTGTGTGAAAACAGCATGGCTATAGGATGCAACTGTATGTAAAGTCCTTCTGCCAACGGTGCTGCAGAACAAATCAGTGAAATTCCAAAGCCAGACGCCCTCAATTTTCCAGGCAAGCATCCGTTTATAAACATGACGCTGTGACTGGCAGTCTTAACACACAAGGAAGAACAGGACGCAATAAGCGGGAAGCAGCCAGCTTTGCTGAGCTGGGGCCATTCCGCTGGTCGGAAGCTAAGCCTGTGTCTGTCTTCAGGGTCAAAGTCACAAATGCATCACTAATTGAATTCTGAGGTTTGTGTGGAAAGCTTTTATTAGTGCTTCCTGGTACAATTATAGAACATGGATGCTTTGTTCTGCAGAGAGAACAAGACAGCTGTGCATGGAACCACTTCCCCCGCAGCCCCCACCCAAGCAACATTGACTGCCACTGGCTTGTGTCCAAAGGCTAAAAATACCCTGTGCTATTAAAGGGACAAATTGGGCTTCATAGCTTGGGAGAGCTGCATCACACAGTAACTCCAAAGGGACGGTTCTGAAGCACCTCAGCCTCCCTCACCACCCCAGCCACTGGCTACAGGAGTAATAACCCAGAAGGAACTGTAAGAGGAGAAGATAAAAATTGGTGTGGGTCAGGAGATAAAAAGACTTCTCATGAGTCTCGTCATTGGGACCACCATGAGACATGTTCTTCTTCCATATGCACAGGACTTCTTTCTAGGAACCCCTTCCTGGGGAATCTGTTGATAGATATGACCCTTCACTCACTGCATGAAAAGCCAATTTTGGTTTCAGTTCCCAGATCTTTGTAAAAATCTGTGTAGGCATCTGCCCTGCCCTGCAATAGCAGCAGACATTGCCTTCTCTGCAGATCATGTCATAATTTTGATCTCTGAACTCCTCAGATGAGAAATGGTATTTTAATCATGGTTAGTGCTGATTCTGAATTCTTGCTGGCTCTCTCAGCAGAGAGGGAAAGAGTATGTGCTTTACAGTCAGAATCCTGCCCCTTCACCTACTTGCTTTGTGACCTTAAACACAATTTCATCCCTTCAAGAGTGGGAGCATAGTTTTGTCTGCCTTGCAGGTAGTTTTGTGGTTTAAAGAGTAAACGACTTAGCCACATACATGTAAATTACTTAGACTAACAACTAAACATTAACAAATATTTGCTTATGTTGTTGAAATGGTGCTGCTCACTCTATCTGACCTCACTCATGGGACCACATCATGCCCATCAGGTTCACATTGTTCTACTTCCCAGATTAGAAAGCAAGGACTCAGAGATTAAATTGCCCACATTTATCCAAATTTTAGTTGTGAAGGTGAGATTAGAATCCAGGCATACAAACTCCATTGGCTATTGTACATTTAACAACCTCAGTCAATTGTCAAGGGCAAGAGAGAATTATTTTCTATTATATTCTCTGATGGTCCTGCTTAGTGGATTTAATTCACCACAGAGTAGAGAGCCTCCAAGGGATGCCAAGCGTCCCAGATCAAGTATGGTGTGGCTCCCTCACAGGCAGACATTCTGGGAGGACAGCCAGAAGCTGCATGATGCTCTCAGTGGCTGGGTATAGCGGAAGGAACTTCCCTTGTCTCCTAAGAGATTTGGGGACGTTGATCCTTCAGGAAGCCACAGTAAAAGATGTCTCTCCAGTCCCAGAGCCTAATGGGCTTGCCAGGGAATAGATCCTAACACTGTTCACTGTGAACCTGAGTAGGAGGTGTCGTGATGAACAGAAACCTCACAGAGAAGGACTAAGGCGAGGATGTGTGGGCTGTGAGCTTTGAGTGGGGGCAGCATTGTCTTTAAAGGGAGCCTCTTTTCACCCTGATGGCAGATTCTGTCCACTGCTGCATCTCTGGTGAACATCTCACCCTTGACAAGATTGAAGAAAGGAGCTTGTTGACAAGCCCATTCCCTTCACAGGGATATTTGAGCTTCGGGCAAATTGAATGCACCCTTTCTGAGACTAGGACATCCTTGGTTGCTTCCAAAATGACACCTAAGAATATCAGTCTCCACTTGCACCATGTTCCGTAGCCTTTAGCAGCTTAATTTACCTCAAAGGATCTTTCTCCACTTTGACACCTGCGTCCAGCTGGCAAGGTCTCACATCTGCACTGAACAATGATATATTCAACCCTGTTCACACCTCTTTCCTATGAGAAAATATTTTTGTTTTCTATTTTAAGTGTTTCTTTTCTACATAAAGAACCCTGTTAAATTCTGCTTTAAGCAATGTCAAAGGAAATATTTGACTACAGGGAAATAAAATCAACAAAATCAGAGTTAAAATGCTAAGGCTGGAACGGATGAAATGATAAATCCGTGAAAGACAAGACTTTGCAAATGTACCCCCGCCCCTCAGAACATATGTGAAGAACAAAAGAAAAGGCAGGCTGCAATGTTTTTGTTTCACCTGCATGACCAAGTAAATGTGCCACCCTACACTTAAGCCTAAAAAAGCCCCAGCCAGTGCAGAGCGCCAGGGCTACCTATGCTTTGCTAGGAAAGTCAATGTCTCTAGAGGTTACCCCAAGATGTCACTCCCTAAGATACCTAAAAACCTTCAACTTATCTTTACTTTCATTCCATCATATCCCCAGATGGCACTGGATTGTTGGACATAGAAATAAGCAGAACAGGAGAAGAATAATTATTGCATAGACTATAGGACAACTTTCTCATTCCGTCAGTCTCTTGAGGCCAGTGACCAATGTTAACAGGACTCTACTGGACTCTCCTGTGCTTAACCCATCAGAATATTGATTCAGTTCACTGATGAAAATAGATACATATGATAGCCATTGAGTGAAATCTTCCTATCCATTAGCTCAAGGCACCTTTCTCACCGGGATATACAAAGGAATGGGGGTTGCTTCCCCAGAAATGCTATTAGATGGACATAAACCATTTGCGAGTGTCATAGAGTTGGCTATGAGGAAATCATTGAAATACTTGAAACTAACATTTGTATATGTATGTTAGTGGTTGGAAACTAAGTCATGTAAGGAATTCTCTCTCTCCTCAACTTCACAACAAACTGCAATCATTGCTATAATTAGATCTCTTAATTTCAAACTTCAGTGCCAAGGACTGTGTCTTATCCCAAATCCTTGTCAATTCTGGGCGGCTATAATGTATGTCTTATCCTATTCTCACATTTGTTAAGAATGCCAGGCTTAGGGGATAGGCTCAGCAGGTGAGAGAACTTGCTGTAAAACATAAGGACCAGAGTTCAAGTCCCCAGACCCACATAAAAAAAAAAAAAAAAAAAAAAAAAAAAAAAAAAAAAAAAACCAGCTATGGTCACATGTACTTGTAATCCCAGTGTCGGGATGGTAGACAGAGACAGGAGGTTCACTGGGGTTTACTGGCTACCAGACTGGCTCCAGGTTCAGTGAGAGATCCTGTATCAAGGGAATAGAGTGGAGAGTGATAGAGCAGCACATCTAATATTTTCCTCTGGCCTCTGCATGCACACGTGTACACATATAAACATACATCACACATTCACCACATATCTACAAAAAAGAAAAAAATTCAACTTCCCACCAGTGTATAATTAACCTTATATATCTTATAATAATATCAAAGAATTAAAGTCAATACTTTACCCTGTTATAGACTCTCATAGCATGCACAACTTTCTGGTGAGGGACCCTTCAGGCGAGAGTATCTAAGAAGGTCCGAGTTTACTCTGAGGACTACCTAGTTACTTCCTGGGCATTTAATTAGGTGCCAGATGTTAATGTGTAGGCCCCCAAGGACCATAGCCTAATTTATGGCTAAAGAAAGTAGGTCTCAGAGAGGTTGAAATAACTTGCCCAAGAGTCCACAGATTCTGAGTGTTCATCTTAGCACTCACCTCCCATCTGAGTCATCTAAAGCCCACAAGCCCTCACTATTAGGATCTTCAGTCATCTCTGGGACATCCTGTTGCTTGCTACCCAGACAGGGTTTGTCTTCCTGTTCTTAGATTCTGCTGTTTTTGCAATATTTGATCATTATTACTCACACTGCGACTGTTGTGATGAACAGCAAGGGAATCCATGTTTATGGAGATCTCCAGCAGCTTAGAGATGAGGACCATTGCAGATCAGGCTTGCCTCAAATCCTTCTGCTAACCCACTTGGTTGCAGAGGAGGGCAGTGTACTCCTGAGTTACCATAAAATTGGCAACAGCAATAATTTCAGTCTTACAAGGTTTAAAATGGAGGGACCAATGCCCGTGCTTTGGTATGGGTAGAGATATTTCTAGCCTAACTAAACTTCAAGCACTTCAGATGACTTATAACTTGAATACTCCTGCTCTTTGTATATATATATATAATGGATGCTGGTCCAATCAACCCACCTTTGACTGGAAAGTCACTAACACAGGTATAGGCAGAATTTGAATCCAGGTTTCGCATGTCTCATATACATATGGAAAGAAAGTAACAGAATTGGGACAGATTCTTGTAGCCTGGCCTTCCCAGACAGTGCTTATTATCCCTCTCAGAACTCTATGCCTATCCCATTGCCTGTCTCACTCAGAGGGTCCAGGTTGTAAAAGAAAAGAAGACTCAAGAACTATCACCCAAGCCTTCCGTCCTTAGAAGAAATACACAGCTTGCACTAATATAGTGCAAACTCACACAGAAGAAAGGCATGCCTTTATGCTCTTTGATGTGGGTTCTGTGAGCTCTCGGGTGTCATGAGCATCCACTCCTCCTCTGCAGCATGGCCGAGAGAGCCCAACCATGATGGTCTCCATTCTCTCCCACTATAGGCGATGTTGGGGCGAAACAACGGGGAGTCATCCAGAAAAAAAGATGAAGAAGAAGTCCAAAGCAGGCACCGCCTCATCCCCGTGGGCCGCAAGATCTATGAGTTCTACAATGCACCCATTGTGAAGTTCTGGTTCTACACCGTAAGCATTTTCCTTCCCCCTTTCCAAAAGGCTAGCCTCAGGGGTGGGCGTTCCTTTCTCAGGCACCAGTGTGGCTTCCTCTGAACAGCATTATAAGCACCACGTGTGCGGGAATGAAAGCTCTGTGACCTTGTTTTTCCAGTAGTTTCACAAGATGTGTGGACTTTCCTGGGCAGCTTCCATAGACTGCCTTTATGCTCCCCACAGAAGGTAAAGGAACTGAGAGAGGTGAGAAGTAATAGCTACAGATGTGAGATGTGTGTGAGTTAGTTCAATATGAAAACAAATGTCCTCTGCCAGAACACTGCTGTGTTGCTGCATGGATGAGAACAGCATGGCCCATTACCGATGCTCATCCTGGGCTTTGGGGGAACATTTGGTGGGCCAGGTTGAAGCACGGTGTAGATGTAGCACCTCTAGGGACAGACAGCATCTATAAGTAACAACTTCCAACCTGGTAATGACATCAGTCACACTTTCTTACTCGGGCACAATTAAACAGCATGGCAGTTCAAAGCAAGAAGACCTCCAGCCCTGGCAAATATTCTCCAGGAATCACACCCTACATATACTCCCTACCTGCAAAGCCACGGACTGTCCCTGAAATGTCATCTGATATCATAGAAAGGGACATTGCTGGGGCACCCCTCTCTTTTTCAATGACGTTTTCCAGTGGTTCTCAACCTTCCTAATGCTGCGACCCTTACCAGTTCTTCATGTTGTGGTGACCCCCAACCATAAAATTATTTTCTTTGCCACTTCATAACTGTAATTTAGCTACTGGTATGAATCTGTGTTTTCTGATGGTCTCGGGTGACCCCTGTGAAAGAGTCTTTTGACCCCAGAAAGGGCCATTTGACCCCCAAAGGGTTATGACCCACAGGTTGAGAACCACTGAAGCCTACAGTGATTCTGTCCAGCCCGATAGAGCTCCACCAGATGAAGGACAATGCTTCTTGACTTTTAGATGTTCTCACAACCAGCTGCAGAGCTGTCATTTGAGTCAACAACAGGGTGATCTAGGTCTGAGAACATGAAGGCTCAGATGACCATTTAGGTTGCTTCCTGGGCAGTCCCGGATGTTAATGTTCAACACTGGCTTTAAAACAAGACTCTGCAGCCTCGGCACTAGTGATATTTTAGCTAGGATAATTCTTTGTCATGCAGCAGCATCCTGGTCCAGGATGCCAGAACCACACTCTGTCCTTTAAGGATGACAACCAAAATGTTTCCAGGCATTTGTGGGATCAAAACTACCACCAGTTAGAAGCCGCAACTTCAAAGGATGATTTTAATAGAGTATGAGAGAATATAAAAACACATATATCACATTTTATATTTATTTTAGTAAAATAAAATTTCCAATATATTGACATTCCAAAATAATATCCACCTCAAAATAGCATACATTCAAAAACTCAGTTAAATTCTTTACAGCAGCACTCTTTCAAGTTTGCCTTGTAGAAAGCAGCAGACTTGTGACTTGCAAGTAGCTTGAGAAAAGATAGTCTACATATAGGTCTACCTGTGTCCCTCTGTGCTATGTGACCCCAAAAACGTTACTTTCCCATTCTGTGCTTCTGTAAGATAGAAATAATACTACTCTCTACTTTATGAAGATTAAGGTATTGAAGGACATAAAACACTTATAATAGTGTCTGGAGCTGTAAGTACAATGTGGGAGTAACTAGTGTTATTCCTACACTAGTCACATTTCTGAGAGGTAATCAATGCCATATCATTTGTTGAGCAGCTACTGTGTTTAAGCAAGGATCCAGATGCTTCCTAAATAATCTCCCTGAGGCTTACAATGACTTCCTCAATACAACATCTGTCCCTTCCTTTTATGCCCACATCTGCCCTTCTCCTTCAATTCTTCTGACTCAGTTGTCACAACCAAAAAGGGGGGGGGGGGGTGAAAACTATAGACAAAGGAAACTCCACTCCTATGGTCCACACACTAAAACTCATTTTTTTTTTTTTTTGCATTTATCTTGTGATGCTGTGTATCACCCCTGGTGCTTTAGGCATGCTAGGTGAGTGCTGTACCACTGAGCTATAACCCCAGCCTGTTTGCGTTTGGTTTGTTTTTAACCTTTCCTTAAAAGGTTGAAATAAGCTTTTAAAAACAGATCAGCTTGTGAAATAAGAAATTCAAATTCCAATGTTTACTACACGTGGCCACATGTGTGCTACAACAACAACAAAAAGTTAACTATGAGCATTAAGAAAAAAAAAAAAACCTCTTGACCTATAGAACCCTGAAGATTCGTCCTGTGGCCTTTTGCGAATGTTAGCAGACTCCTGGTCTAAGGCATAAGAGAAACTGGTGTGAGGAATCCCATAAAGAGTTAACCAGCACTTGGATGGACACTGGCCTCACTTAGTCTTCCAAGTCATCTGCTTTTCCTTCTTCGTTGGGGTTCAGCAGTCCCATCATTTGAGTTCCTTGATCCTCTTGCTCCCTGTTGACTCAACTCAGGCAATTTTCAGCCCCAAATGCTTTTTCATCGCAAGTGCCCTGGCCAGTGTCTCTCAGCTTTGACACCTCCAGATCAAGATCATTGGAATCATCCATTACACTTTTGTTTTTGGTTTTGTTTTTGTTTTGTTTTGTTTTGTTTTTTTAACCATGGTCTCACCCAGGTTTTCCTCAAACTCCTGATTACTTTGCCTCCACCTCTCAAGGACTGGTATTATAGGCATGTGTCATTGTCCATCTGTTGGAACACTTTAAAAACATGCTCACACCTATCCTCCACCCTCAGGGCTACTATGTCATCCCTCTGGGTACTAAAGTAGAGCTTCCCAGGTAATTGTAATGAACAGCTAGAGTCAAAAAGCCCTCACTCAGAACAGAGAGTAGTGAGTTTTAGCCCACTATTTTTTAAATGCCCACAATATAAAAGGATTAATTAGAAATCCCAATTCAAGGATCTATCATGGACCCAACTGAATCAAGTCTGTGGAAGTAGTGGGGAGGCAATTACCAAAAGCCCCAGGTGTCTCTAATGATTACAGAAACCTGGACCGCATTGCTTCAAACACCATTTGCAGCATGCTTTGAGAAGCTATCTTAGTTATTTTTCTATAGCTGTGACAAAACACCATGGCCAAAGCTTCTTTATAGAAGCAAGCATTTAATTCGGCTTGTGGCTTCAGAGGCTGAGAGCCCACAATGATGGAGTGAAGGCATCATGGCAGGAACAGCTGAGAGAGTCCACATCTTGATCTGCAAGTAAGAAGAGAGAAAGCTAACTCAAAATACTGTGACTCTTTTGAAACCTCAAGTAGCCACTAACTGGAGACCAAGCATTCAAACATATGAACTTATGAGGGCCATTCTCATTCGAACCACCACAGGAGCTGTGTCTTTGGCAGCTGGGGTTCGGTGTCCAGCTCCCTTTCCCATAACTGACTGGGATAGCCTCAGCCAATCCATCACACTAAATTCCCCAGTTATATTCAAACAATTCCAGCAACTTGTGTTCAAATGTTGACAAAACCCAGGCCTCAAGGTAAATGAATGGAAATGAGAGGGCCAAGCTTTTGAGACCCCCCAACAATGCTTAACAACAAACTTCACCATCAGATTGGTGGTCCCATTTGCTGTGACCTGTGTTCTCTGTAAGGGTATTTCTCTCTGATTTCCAGAAGTGTCCCTTCCTCCTCTCTGACACTGTCCAAATGAGCATCCACCTCACTCCCCTATGACCTCCTGTCCTCATCTCAGCTTCCCAGAGGAACAGGTGGGTCCTCCTCAGTTCCAAGACAGAAGGAAGCAGAGATCCAATTGGCTCACAGCCCCTGTCTATGCAGAGAACATTTCTCAGTTATGAGCTGGAGAAGATTGAAGTTCAAGGTACAAAAAAGACCGCAGATCAGAGGACACGATGTGTACTGTGGGTTTTACCAAGTCATGACAAGCTCTCCCCCAGAGGCCCTAGGTTAGGTGACTTACACAAGATGACACACATGAGCTCAAACTTAAACCCAAGTTCTAAGTTTGAGTTCTAAGTTTTTCTGCCAACTTCCTCCCTTCACATACACTAGGCCTGGACAGAGGATGGACCCTGTTAGTAAAGTCACTTAAATTCAAAGACACGGAATTTCTGAAAAAATGAGTTCATGTGCCACTGCGCCAAAGTGTGACAAGAGGAGACAGTGCCTTGGGATGTTTTGCATTGAACTTCGTAAAATGTTAAAACCAGTGCACTTAAGCGTCTCTCCACCTTGAAGCAACCAATTTTTTTTTCAATAAAAGGAAGTGACCAGGAAGACAGAAGTAATTGCAAGCAAAAGGAAAGAGAGTGTATTAGACAGTCTTACCAACTGATTTCCTTCCTTTGTGTTTTGTAACTATGCATATAAGGACTGCAGAGCGTAGCAGTGTTTTCTTGATCTGAAACCATGTGAACCAAGTCACACTTGGAACCAATTTCTAAAGGATGCCTCTCTCATGCGAAAGTTCCATGACTCAGTAGTGATGCTGAAGTAGGGAGCCATGGGAACCTAGGCCCGGGATAATGTAACAGTGGTCATGGGGACAGAAAAATCAAATCACCCAGGTAGAGGAGCTCAGCTAACCCTCAGCTGCGGAAGCACTCACTCTCTGTCACAATCTGATTGTTCCAGATGTGGTATCCTTTACCTCTGGCATAACCTCACCCTTTAGATGAAGGAAAAGCTGGCTGGGAAGTAGCTCACAGTGGTAGAGTGTTTGACTACCATGCCCAGGTCTTGGCTTATCAGAAAAGGGAATTCTGTGCCACTTGTACCTGGACATGTGTCATCAATGTCACGGGGATGTCAGAGGTACCTTTGATTTACATTAAAAGTCTATTCAGTTTACGAAAATGAAGGAAGAAGCCCATTGGTAGATAAGACATCTCTCTGGTCCCACATGGCTTATCTCCTCGCCAGGCTGCAGTTTCTGCCTCCTAACTTGTCTTCACAGCCCCAAAGTCACTCAATGTCTTCCTCACCTCCAATCCTCAATCCTCTTGCCCACATGCTGCCCTGTTCGTTCCCACACCACCCCCAGAGAGTACAGATTTGAGTCAGCTCACTCTAGGTCCCTGCTCAGAGCCCCTGAGGCCAGTCAATGCCTTGCTCAACTTGAGGCTTTGCCCACAGGATGTTTTACTCATCTGCCATCCCCCTCAGGGTAAGTTTTCTTATGCAAGAGCACCACCAATTCTTTTCTTTCCACATTGACATCACTGCATCTTTCAGTAACAGATTCCAAGCCTGGGCCCTGAGGAGTGTTTCCCCACATCCAGTCAGTCACATCAGGACTCAAATTCCAGATGCTGGAGCCTCTGGATGATTAAATCCTCTCTGGTTCACAACAGGCCACACACCCCACGCCTTCCTGTAAACAGCTTTATTTTCTCTTGTTTTGTTTCAAAGAAGCAGAAGGCAAATTCAAATGTTCCGACCAGGGTAGGGCAGGATGACAGTACAGTGGAAAAGAGGTTGGAATCCTCCCTAAGAAGCCAACCACTGTAGGTCAAAAACACCAGGCAGATGCTATTTACTCAGGAGAAAATGGAAATGGAGCCTTAAGATTAAATCTCGGCTGCTTACACTATAGTTTTACCAACTTAAAAGTACTATATGAGTCTTTCTTTTCTTCTGATGGGCATTAATCTATCTAGCATCTTTCAGAAATATATATATATATATGTATATATATATATATATAGTATCAATCACTTTAGTATGGAAAGCCAAGTGTGCACCTAAGCAAGAGCCCTGATAGGCCAGTTTCTTTTCTAAGACAGAACACCAGAATACACACACACACATACACACACACACACACACACACACACACACACACACACACACACACACAATCAACTGGTGATGGTCATGCAAATTCCTACATGGTGACACAAAGGTGCAAGCAAGGCCCCAGGGCCCCAGAGACACATATAAAGCTCAAAAACAAACATTGCATACTCAATTAGTTTAACTACTATAGCCTTTAAAACAAATGTTTGAGGTAGAGGTGCCTCAGCAGGTAAAGGCATCTGCCATCAAGCCCAATGACCTGAGTTCGATCCCCAGAACTTGGTGGATGGAAAGAAACAACTTCTGCAACTTGTCCTCAGACCTCCATGAGAATGAACACAGAAAATAAATAAATACTCTTGGTTGTTTAGAACTCTACAGTTCCTTCGTCATGGCTTCCCTGACCCACTTACTGACCTTGCTCAGCATTGCCATGCGGTGGTCTTGCCCAGGGCCCGGCTCCCTGCAGTTAGAGTCCTGTGTTGTATTTTCTTGCAGCTGGCATATATTGGATATCTGATGCTCTTCAACTACATTGTGTTAGTGAAGATGGAGCGCTGGCCTTCCACTCAAGAATGGATCGTCATCTCCTACATTTTCACTCTGGGAATAGAGAAGATGAGAGAGGTAAGTGCTTCCGGAGTGAAGTCAGGAGGGAAAGGGTGGCTCATCATATCTGAGGGTGGAGAATCGAGAGGGACGCTTGGGGTCCAAGTTAAGCCCCAAACAGGGTCCTGAAATCCTGCCGAGGGCTGCTGCTTTCCTCTTTGTCCAACCTAGAGAGGTTTCCAAGGGTGGTTAAGTCTATTTCCTGCTTACACGCCTTTTGCTCCAAGACATTCTCCAGAGGGTTTCCATATCATTTACACCTCTCTCTCCTCATCCCTATGAAGATGACTTTTTAAACTCTGCTATTTTTAACTCCCAATTCAACCCTTTATTTAAGGTCTCCTTGGACACTGTCCACGAGTCCAATATCAACCTCTCCAAACGTGTTCCAGCAGCTTGCTGTTAAGCCCAATGGCCTGAGTTCAATACCCAGAACCCACATGGTGGACAGAGAGAAACAACTTCAGCAGGGAGGGAGGGGGAGACACTGCATGATTCCTTTATTCAGTTTATTCTGGAGTTGATTACTTCTCAATGTCTATCACCGCCCCCCCCCCTTGCTGGGCATCCGCCAGTCCTCCCACTCCTAGGAAGCACTGTGGAGGATGGAACACAGTTCTGGTCTCCCCTCACCTCACTGAAATACCACCCCCTACATGATTTGTTTGAAGTCAAAGCTAACCATGGGGACAGGAAATCTTATTTAGTGCTAAAAAGAAATGAGCTATGAGGCAATGGGAAAACTCAGGTGTGTGTTACAAAGAAGAAAATGGCCGAACGGGATACATTCTATATGAATCCAGCTATATGAAATTCTGGGAAAACCTATGGAGATGGGGAGAGCTACGGAGATTGGTGGGGGAGCTATGGAAATGAAGGGGGGGCTAGAGAGTGGAAAGAAGATTGGTGGTTGTCTGGGTTTGTACATTGGAAGGATGGTAGGTGAAGTCCAGGGCTTCTAAGGTCACAAAAATATTTTGAATGCTACTGTAGTGATGGACGGATTCATATCATTCTACACATGTTCCAACCCATAGAATGTACCCTTCCCACAGTGAACCCTGATGTGAACTGTAGTCTTTGGGTGATGTGGTAACATCATTCCACCATTTTCAAAAAAAAAAAAAAAAGAGGCCATTGATAATGGAAGAAGCTGTAGGGATCAGGAGATACCAAGGAAAGTGCTTTTTGTGAACTTAAAACTGTTTTTTAAACTTAAATAAATCTAACGTCAGTGGCCCTTTAGATTCCAAGAGCTTCTAAAAATCTATGTGGTCAAGAAACGTTCCACAAGAGGGCGCAGCAACCCTGCTCAGCGCTCTCCACAAACTCCTGTCTCACCAGAGAAAACCTTCAGGGAAGGCAGGTTTGCAAGGTGAAGCGACTCCTCTGCATGTTCCAGAAACTGCAGTGAGTGGGAGGGGCCTTTTGAGTAGGAAAGGAGCCTGTCAAGTCTGTGCAGCTCCGGGAGCTCCAGCACAATCCTCGTCTCTGTATTTCAGTAGGTGGGCACCGAGTAGAACGGGGCCACCAACCCACCTTCATCAACCAGACAGACTCAAAGGTTCTTGCCCTAGTGGATTTCATCTCTGGAATGCTCTCCAAAGAAGAAAGATGCCATATCTACTAAATTTGATTGCATTGAGATTTAAATACACACACACACACACACACACACACACACACACACACACACATCCTTCAGCACCTTTCTCTGGGGCTGTGTGGGTGCTATTTTGATTCTAATTAGCATTTTTCCCTCCTGAGAGCTTGGGAGTGGGACCCGAGTCCCACCTGAGGATTAGAGATTGGATTAAATGACTAAGGCAGTGAGACGGCGGCGTGTGTTGTTGCTGCAGCCGGGTCTCTGCACTGTGTTCCACCATTCACAGTGTTCTCCCATTGCTTGAGCAGGGCAGCGGACTTGTAAACTGAAAAACAGTAATAAATTTGCCTGGGACTTTGTGTAGCTCTGAGAACTGAGCCCGCTCCCGCCAAGGGGCCCTGCCTCTGCGGGATGCCAGCTGGCACTCCGAGACTTAACACCCCGCCACATATTCCTTCCCCATCACAAGCAGAGGAGGGAAAGACTGGAGTGTGGAGACTGGAGACTGTCCAGGGACTAGGCTGGAAGGAGACGGGGAGCAGCCTGTACTCCTTGGACTGTTCTAGAATGGCTGCCAAGCGGGCAGGCTGCCAGAAACCTCCAGGCCTGGCCATCCATTTCTTGTGAAGCTGCGTGTCATGGCAGGCAGGGTGGGGCTTCCGATACCGGGTCAGGGCTGGGTCAGCCGAAGCGTGCTTGCCGCTGAGGAAGATGTGGGAAGTGGGATTGTGGCCATTTTTGTGCCTGATCTTTTTTTCTCTGCAATTGGTGAGGTGGCCTCTCACCCCATGTCCCTGCCTTGAACTCTGGGAAGAGAGGCTCAACTATTGAGTGGGTGACAGTTCCCACAAGCACCCGCCTCCCTGCCTCCTTGTGGTTGGCACACAGGCCCTCGGGAACCCAGACGCAAGATCCTGGAAGCCTGGAAAAGTTTGCATGCTTCCGTGCCTCCCAAACAAACACACGGAAGGCTGTGGTTTCGTGTGCTGCTGATCCCATTCTCTTCTCACCACATACTTCTGCATGTAGTCACCAGAGCCAGCCACAGCAACCCCTTAATAGTATGGAACTGTTTACAGCAAGCCTTAGTAGACATTATCTCACCCAGGTCTCCCTCAAGTCTGTGACGTCAGTGACAGCCATGATCACATCCATCCCCGCTTTACAGGTCTGGGAAACAAGATGGAGCAATTGTTTGGTATGCTACAACTGGAGAAGAGAGCGAGGTCTGAAACCTGTTTGGGTCATCTGAAACTCTCTTTCCTCTCCGCTCCCCGGTGATGCGCTACTGGGTCCCAGGATACCAAGGCCTGAGCTGAGGGCTGGTTTAGCAGCGATGGGGCAGAGGAGGTGCCCTCCTCCCCACCCCCTCTTTCCTCACTCTCTCTCATCTCTCCTCTCTCTCCCCTCCTCTTTCTCCACCCCTCTCTCTCTTTTTCTCTCTCTCATAGTAGTAGTTTTAGCAACACGTGAGCAAGGGGTAGAAGATTGCTAAGGCATGGCCCATCCTCCCTGCCTCTCCTTTCCCATGCACATGCACAGATTTTTACCTAGTTCAGACGGACCCAGAGGGGGAGGAGCCAACAGGACAGCATCAGTCACAGAGAGTGCTGCTGGATGATAGGACAGTGGATCTCACACCATGCTCACCAGCATGACCTGGGAACATGTAAGGACGGTGAATCCCCTGGCCTGATCCCACACCTGCTGGAGTAGGAACTCAGTGGTGGGAGCCAGGTATCTGTGTTTGGGGACCATGGAGGCTACTGCAGCTGTAATGGTCAACAGAGGCCTTCCTAGGAAGGAGACAACTAAATAAAGAGCTTAAGGATAAGAAGAGGCCAAGCTTGCAAACTCTTGGAAAAGAAAGTCCCCGGTGGAAGGAATTAGGTGTCCTGAGCATAGGCTGGCCTTGTTCTGCTACAGAGCAGGCCAGTGGGGCTACAGCAAGAGGAGGGAGAGTGCAGTGGGATGGGAAGTGGACATGGTAAGGAGTTTGGCTTTTGATCTGTTTATAATGAAAACCATCAGAAAGTCTGAGTATGTACTTAACATGGTTTGCTTGTCCCTTGTTTCTTTTTTTAAGAAATGAGGTATAATTTACTGGTCATGAAAGGAAACATCCCCCTTGGGTACAGCTTTATGAGTCTTTGCTTATAAAAAGCAACTTTGTAATTGCCAACCCCATCATGGTTTAGGTCTTCAAAGAGCTCACTGTGTGTTTGTTGCTCAGAAAATGGATGGTAGGCTGGTGTCCATAATGACAACAGATATGCCATAAGAAAACAGTTGCAACCATGTTCCTGATGTAATGGGACTTAGAATTCAGTGGCAATCATGGAGATGATAAGTCATTAACGGGGTTGTACTTCAGACAATGATTTGCTGATACAAGAGAGGAATGGCGGTGTCCTGTAGTCGTGGTCCATGTCACTCAGTATTGAAGCACTGTTTACTGAGACGATTGTGGGGGTCGGAGGTGTGTTAGGAATATATAATGTTATAGCAAAAGCCTGCAGTGGCTCAGAACTGCCAGACAATCCCAAGGATCGAACCTGTTCTTTACATCTGCTTCTAGACAGTGCACATCTGGGTTACCTAAGCTTAGTTCAATCATGCATTCATAGTATACAGGTATTCAACTAGACTCAGGTCTAGCTAGCCCCTTCCATCAGCTAACAGACAGAGAGAGCACTTTGCAGCCAAGCTGAAAGCACAGGAGAACCCAGGCCTAACCCTCTGTGCTGCCTTGTAGATCCTGATGTCAGAGCCTGGCAAGCTGCTGCAGAAAGTGAAAGTGTGGCTGCAGGAATACTGGAATGTCACAGACCTCATCGCCATCCTCCTCTTCTCGGTGGGAATGATCCTTCGACTTCAAGACCAGCCCTTCAGGAGTGATGGGAGGGTCATCTATTGTGTGAACATCATTTATTGGTACATCCGTTTACTAGACATCTTCGGCGTGAACAAGTATCTGGGCCCATATGTAATGATGATTGGGAAAATGGTAAGCAAGGTCATTCGGTTCCATGTTACCCTTTCCCAGAGGAAGATCAGTGATAATAGAGAGATGTGATTCATTTGGATTTGCTGCTTCAGTCTGCAGGAGATGGTCCCAGGGGGGTTTTAGTTTTTTAATTCCCTTTGAGTGTTTACAAATTTGACTCTATTACTATGTAGAAACTAAAGAATGTAATCATCAGCTGCCTGTTTACTAACTGAAGTATGTGGACCAATCACTTGCTTTTTGCCAGGCACTGGCTTAAGAGCTGAGCAAAGCCAAGAGGTAGTGGCTCAAACCTTTGATCCCAGCACTCAGGTGGCAGAGGCAGATGGATCTCTGAGTTCAAGGCCAGCCTAGTCTATAGATCAGGTTCCAGGATGGCCAGGGCTACACAGAGAGACCCTGTCTAGGAAAATAAAAAGAAAAATAGTTGAGCAAAGATGTCATTTCATGAGATTGAGAAAAAGGGAAAGGAAGGGTACTTTGCATGCAGGGTGAAAAGGTCCTCAGAGTGACTCCCATTTAGTCCAGAAGGATCGCAGGTCAGGACAGGTTACACAAAATGTTCACGGTGGCCAGGCTTGGAGGAGGACTAAAAAAATGTTAACAGATCTTGAAGACTCGTAAAAGATGAGTTTTGGAGGTGACATTTGCAACTCACTTAGAATACCCAACACTTGGGGAGCTAAGGAGTCAGATCCCAGGCCATCCAGAGTGACATAGCAAAAATTTGCCTAAAAAAAAAACCTACTGGAAAATCAGATCAAATAAGGCTCTTTTAAAAAGTGGCATCTGGTCCACAAGGCGGGGAGGGGTTTGAGTTGATCTGAGTTAGGAAGGCAGAATCTTGAGTACCAGAGGTTTTGTGAGTACTGGGGGAAACTATTGACTAAACCTGGCTCCTGGCACCTGCTCCTCTAAATTCTTTAAAATGAAAGAATCTCAAGTGGCGAGCTAATGTCCTTCTATACAAATGCCTGAGAACTTCAATGTTCCTGAGTATATTCCAGAATTTTCCCAGGAAGACTGAGCCTGAGATGGCCGGCATCAGTGTGAACCTAGTGACAGGTGTGGGGTCGGGGTGGGGCGCTGGGTTCATGAGCTCCTTCCTCAGACACTCCAGCAGAACCCAGAGCCTGATGCCCACTTCTCTGATGCCCACCTGTATATCTTCGACATGTGGGAAGCTAAGCATATCCACCCTACATGGAAAAACACCCCCTCATAAAAATCTCTTCGGTACCATCTCTAGTTCCATCCTGCGAGCTGTTGAAACAAGCAGGTGGCATTATAGATGTCCCTTCTTACTGTCACTCAATTTTTACGATAGACATCTTGCTAAACCAGTATTTATTAACATCTGTCCATGAATTCTACTGAAATATATCCTAAATAAACAAAAATGTTCCTATTTTTTAAAAAAAAAAAAACAAATCCAGGCAGAGAAAGGAAAAATTTAAATTCAAAATGAATTTCCTTTACTCTTTGATATTCAGTTCACTGCCTTCTCAGGCAACAAAGAACAGTAAACATGTACTTTGTAGAGCTGTGATAATTGGGAATGGCCCGCGCTAAACAATAGCCAGCTCATAGTTAGCTGGTTGATAAATTATGTCTCCTATTGTTGTGCTTATATTGTCGTTTTAAAGGACAATGAAGAAAGAAAAGTTTATAAACACACTGCCCTTCCATAGAACCAACCCTTTCATACCCAAGTGTGGAATGATCACACCAACGGTGTTTAGAGTAAATAGCACCAGACACATTCTAGAGAACAGAAACATGGATTCTGGAGTTTTAGTTACCCAAACCGAACCCAGTTGGACTTGCTATTGTTTGAGAAGGAGAAAAATGTGGATATTATTGGTTTATTCTGCCATCGTGCCTTCATTTAACAATGGATTTGAGATTTGGGTGAACATTCTTGTGTCTAAAGGTAGGCTCAGTGGAATGGGCTTGAAGGAGGGACCTGTGAATCCCTGCTCCCAGCTTACACAGGAAAATGTGCATATGGATTTTCTAGGGAGAACAGGCCTTTTTATATATTTCCAAGTAAAATGAAAAAAAATCAAACTATAATAGCTTGGAAATCAGGCCAATTTTTCTCCACCTTGACACTCTTTTTTTTTTTTTTTTTTTTGGTTTTTCGAGACAGGGTTTCTCTGTGTAGCTTTGCGCCTTTCCTGGTACTCGCTTTGGAGACCAGGCTGGCCTCGAACTCATAGAGATCCACCTGGCTCTGCCTCCCGAGTGCTGGGATTAAAGGCGTGCGCCACCACCGCCTGGCTGACACTCTTTTTTTTTTAAGGAATGTCTCACTGTGTAACTGAACCTGACTGTACTTTACCTCCTCCTGCCCTTGCCTCCTAAGTGCTGAGACTACCAGCATGCACACCACACCCAGCTGGGACTGCGGAGTTCTTGGTTGAAGAGTCCCTGTATACTGCAGGATATTTAGCAGCATTCACACACACACACACACACACACACACACACACACACACACACACACACACACACACATACACACACAGAGACAGAGAGACAGAGGGGGGAGAACAGAAAGGGGGAGAGGAAGAAAGAGAGGAAGGAAGGGGAGGGAGAGGAAGAGAGAGAGGGAGGGAGAGAAGAGAGAGAGAGAGAGAGAGAGAGAGAGAGAGAGAGAGAGAGAGAGAGAGAGACTTAGGACAACAAAGATGTTTCCAAACATTACCAAATGTTCCCTGAAGCACAAAACTGCCCTCTGTCAAGAACTACAACTTTAGGAGATTATTTAATCTGACAGTTATTTTTTATTACCTTATTTTAACAGATAGACTATTCAAAAACCAAACCAAGTCAATTATTTTTTAAAAGTCTAGGTGGCATTTAAATATTTGAAATATCTAAAGTTACATTGATGTAGTAAGATTATCTTAATTTCTGTGCCTATCATTTTAATAATGGCATAATCACTCCAGTTTTGACTAGAATGAAACCTTACTAAGAAATGAACAGGAAGGCTTGTGATGCCTTTTCTCTACTTTTTAACTTATGAATGACTTCATTTATCAGTCAAGAATAAGTAGAAAATTTGGGGACTTTGAGTTCTTACAGAATGCTTTTAAGATAATTAGTTCAATAATTGAGTCATCAATCCAGAAAGTAGATAAAATACATCTCTAGAGTTTATCAGTGAGCCAGATGGACTGCAAACTGAAAGCTGAAGAGTCTTCCCAGATGTGTTATATACAAAGTCCTCAACTTTAGAGGGCCCCTCTTTAGTTCTTCCGCACCCAGGTAGCCCAGTGCCTTGATATCTGGAGACCAAATACAGGATGGCTAGGTGCTCATTCTGAAATGGTTTTGTGTGTTGGCAATGTAGAAGAAACCAGTGCATCAAATAAATGCCTGACGGAACGGAACTCCTTCATCCCCACTGAGTCCTGTTGATATGCAGGTCCAGGATCACTTGAAATCCTGACTCTGTTCCTTCATATTTCATTTCTTCGGGAAATTCTATAAACCTGGGACTAACTCACTTATGTAATGTGGAATAGAAACCATGATAGTAGCTTTGCTTTGCTGTGCCAGGCACCATGTGAGACACATTTCAGCCCTCACTATTCAACCCCATGGAATAGATCTTAGAACCCTCCTATATCAATTAAATAAACAGACCCTGAGAGAGACAAGGACAAGGTTCAAACTCCTGACTCCACATCCTGAACTTCCGATAACAACACATTAACATTTATGAGAACTTACCCCATAGCCATCACATTTAGTCAAAGGTAATCATGTGATTGTTATTATTATCCCACTTACAACATCTAAAAACAAGATTAAGCAACTCACTCCAGACCACTTAGCAAACTTTCTTTTTCTTTTTTAATGGTCAGGGAAAAGGGTTTTTGGTGGTGGTGGTGGTGGTGGTGGTGGTGGTGGTGGTGGTGGTGGTGGTGGTGGTGGATTTTTTTTTTTTTCATGTAGCTATTTTAGCAAGAGTCAGGATCAAAATCCAGGTTGTCTGGCACCTAAGAGCATTTGATTCATCACCAACATGGATGTTCTCTGTTCAACATACCAAAAGGTATTCATAAGACTGGGAAGAATCTTGACATTGAACTCACTGGATAATTTAACTTTGAAAACAAAAGAAGTCTGTTTATCTTCTTATTAATGATGCTCAGACCCTGATATATTTATGACAGTAAAGACTTTGAAGCAGAGAAAGCTCAGCATATGGGAAGAATATTTTTCTTTTGCTCTTTTGACCCTGTGAATAGATATTAGGAACAATCTTTAAAAAAAAAAAGCTGAGGAATTAAATTGGTGCAGCTTCTGTATTTACTGGCTGAGTTTTCTTGAGTCAGACTGGCTCCTCACTCTGGTGAGTACTCCCTAGTCCTCCCCTGCCCATCTTTTAATCTATGTGAACAAATATAACATGAAGACTCATCTGTGCTCCTTCATTGATACAACTTTCTGTAAATAAGTGATAAAAGGATTTTATAAAATAAAAAGAAGGAGCCGGGCGGTGGTGGCGCACGCCTTTAATCCCAGCACTCAGGAGGCAGAGCCAGGCGGATCTCTGTGAGTTCGAGGCCAGCCTGGTCTACAGTGCGAGATCCAGGAAAGGCGCAAAGCTACACAGAGAAACCCTGTCTCGAAAAACCAAAAAAAATAAATAAAAAAAAAATAAATAAAAAATAAATAAATAAATAAATAAAAAGAAGGGAGGAGATGAAACACAGACTTGGGTTTCCTATGAACCTGATCCAACCCAGCCATCTCACCCACTTAGAGACCTGCAACCCCCAACTGGAGAAAGGAAGAACAGCTAGCATATACCTGTGAGGATATGGAAAGGAGGAATCTTGAGGAAATTCCTATCTCACCTCAAGGTCTTAAAAATTTTGGCAGATGTATTTTGAAGTTGTCTTGGAAATTGATGAGTTGATCTAAAATATATTGAGGCCCCTGTGTCCTAAGGCACCCAAGAAGACCATAATGTTTAAGTTACTGGAGCAGGTACCATGGAATATTCTCTTTGAAGCTGGAGGCAGAAATAGGTCCATAGTAGAGTATATGCTTAGTGTACACTAGGACCTTGGTCCAATCCCCAGCACAACAGTAACAATAATAAATAAAACAATCCGGAACCTTCTTTATTACTGATAATTACCATTCATCATTCTCTGTGGGTGGGCACCCCTTACACTATATTATCCAAGAGAAGGAAGTCTTTGGTATCAGACAGTTTGACACAGGAGTGAAAACCGATCTCCGCAGCTTAAGTGTGGGAGGGATACTGACTTACAAGAGGACAAGGGGGAACTGGCCATAAAGACTACAGAGACAGGGGTCCAATCACTGCTGGGACTAGGTCTCTTCCTCTACTATATCTGCTCATTCACTAGGGGGAAACTCAGCCTCCAGCATGCAAGATTCACACAAAGAATGAACATTATGAAGAATGAAAGGGAACTTCTCTCTCTACTTCTATAAGAGAGATGGCTGTAATCTCAGCACACTAGAGGCTGAAGCAGGAGGATCACAAAGTTCCAGGCCAGCCTCATCTGCATAGTGAGTTCCAAGATACTTTGGGCTCATACAGAGACCCTGTCTCCAAAAAATAAAAAACAAATTCAAAAACCAAAAGATTCTGAGAATTCTGGTGAAGTCCCGTCTTGTGTCACGTGCCTACCTCACCATGGCTGCCATGGGATGAGGTCCCACAACTAGCCTAGCTTGGACAGCACACTCATCTTTCTAGGCAGAGACACTGGAAATGTCTCTTAAAGAAGCTGTGAGTTTGGAGTCATCGGTATCACCACTTAGTGTACCTTGTCAGTTTTCAGTGTTGAAAAGAAAGCAATCGGGCAGGTGAAAAAGAAAAAACAGATGTCTAGTCACGTAGCCTTGAAACAAATGAGAGCATGGAGAAGGGAAAGAGGGGAAGGAAGAATGGCGGGCTTCCATCGGGAGGAGCTGAGAAACACACCTAGGAGGAGATCCATCATGTCAACAACAGGCACTGGTCTAGTTCATGAAGCCACATGGTTTTAAGACCTGGGAAAACACCCTCCACAATAAGCTACCCTGCAGGAGAAATATCGAAACGGGATGGTTCTATGAGAGCCGGGTCCACGGCAGAGAGTCAAGCAATGTGATGGGCTCCCGTTTGTTCTGCCCTAGGTCTATTTGTAAGCCTTATTTTCTTGAGCTTTCCAAGTCATGTTAGCCTCTTAGAACTAAGAGTAGGAATATACTGTTCTGCACTTGTTCTTAAAAATAGTCCAACTATCCCAATCCTAATTTTCCTAAGAACAAAGAAACCAAAACAAGCCACTTGCCTTCTCTAATAACTGTTTTGTTTTGTTTTGTTTTAAAAATGGGAACCACGTGGAGAACCCAAATTCTGAGGAATAGTACTCTTGTGCCTAAATGTAAATATATTCCATAGTCAGCCATAAAAATGAAAGGGCTCCATTATGTGTGTACTTGTAAAAAAAAATTATTTTAGCAACTTACATTAGCATTCAGCATGTAGAGGTCAGCTTCAGTAGTCCAGTTGTCCTCTTAGCTGGGGATTCCTTGAAAGTCAGCATTCACAGGCACCTTCAATCACATGGCTTTTCTTTTATTTCTCCTTCTCCACCCTTCCAGATGATAGACATGATGTACTTTGTCATCATTATGCTGGTGGTGCTGATGAGCTTTGGGGTCGCCAGACAAGCCATTCTCTTTCCCAATGAGGAGCCATCTTGGAAACTGGCCAAGAATATCTTCTACATGCCATATTGGATGATTTATGGGGAAGTGTTTGCAGACCAGATAGACCGTAAGCAAGTTTATGATTCTCATACACCAAAGTCAGGTATTTAACTTTGATTGAGTCACGTCTTTTCCAAGTCCATTTGTTCGTCCTCAATAAATGGCTCAAGATAGAGGACCGATTCCTAGTTTGCTATCTTGGTGGAAACAATCACTGGAGGTGAATATGCTATGTTAGCAAAGTAGCCATCAACTGTTTCTCCAGGTATGACCTTCCTAAAATACAAATGGACATCTAGTATACCAAAATTGATACAAAAAAAAAATGAACCATTTTAAATGATATAAGTTTGTGTATAACTCAAACTCTTAAGGCCAGGTTTTTTATATTTCATTACTGGGAATATATTATGTCAAAACTACCTACTCCTACCCTAGCCCTCGGCTTGCTAGGCTTTAGAAAATAAATTCCTTGGGCTTGAGTGTAGAACAAATAAACAATTCTCAATTTCATCATTAGAATTCAAGATTAAGGGCAAACATCTGTATGGTATTTTCCTCATGCTAGAAACTATTCCCCAACAGCCTTTCCCATTCTTAAGTGCTATTGAGACACAGATGAAGCCAGAATTCATTACCAAGAAGTATGGAAAATGCCTGTAGGTCATAGACCGAGTTGTTCATGGTAAATGCCAGGGTGGGGGGATCTATATCATAAAGTAATTTAGTGTGGACCAAGAGCCAGCAGCCCCCCAGTACCTTCAGTCTACTAGATACTGAGTCTCTGCAATAAACAACTCCTTTTGTGTGGAGTTGGAGGATAGTTGTAGTCCAGAAGTCTGTTCCAGGATTTTATTTGGACCAAATGTCAGGGCACACCAGGCATCAGGAAATGACTTCACAAAGCATCAGGGAAGAAGCATGTTTCAGTGTGGAGTTGAATCCCAGGCGCAGCTCTTTCTCATTTTCCCTGAGGAGTTTAGCTCTGAAAATAACAACCCTCCAACACTGTTGAATTAACATTTTTTCAGACATTTTTTGCTGACAGGCCAGCCATCTGAGCCCTGGACTGTGAACACGGATTAGGGTCACATAACCACATAGCTTAATAAGGAGTGGGAGTAGAGTCTAGCAGCACCCCACTCTCCCTCCTCATCCCAGGTAGAATGGGGCCTAGGAACACAAGGACAAAAGACATCTGAGCTTGGAAGTCCTCGAGCCTATGAAGACCACCGTGTGTATCCTGGCAACAAAACACAGCAACACGTCATTTTCCCTCCATGATAGATTTTGAACAAATAAGCTTTCCTTCTCACAACACGTTATCTGAGGCTCTGAGGCGAGCAAGACTTTTTGGAACACCTAATTGGAACAAATATTTGTTCCATAAGACTTAGCCAACTCATGGAGGAAGAATTTTAGCTCCATCCTCCAGTTATAATATCTTTGGCTGACAATGTGCAGCCTTCAGAAGGCAGTCTCCCAGGGACAGGAATTTCCTGTCGAGAGCATCCTTTCAAATGGTCCCTACAGGCAAAACAACACTTAAAAAGCTTGCTATGATGATTCTCCTCAGAGACTAAGCATGCTATTACACACACACACACACGCGCGCGCACACACACACACACACACACACACACACACACACACACACACACGCTTCCCCTGGAAACTGCTTTTCCACTTTGCTACATTATTTTGCTTTTTCAAGTTGTCCCTTTTTCTCCCAGAATGAGATGAAGCCCACATGGGCATTTGAATAATGTAGTGAGGGAGAGAGCGGGAGGGAGTAAGGGGGAGGGAGAGAAAGGGGAGGTATGGATGTGTTTCACAAATGGGATTCTGTCTGTCCCTCTACAAGTGGCCATTTATTGATGTTGTACTATGGGCCCAGCCTAGTGCAACAAACACCATCATCTGCTGAACACGAGGATTTAGTATTGCTGTTTTCAAAGAAGGGCTGATTATAGTTTAGAACTTGAACTCTCCCCACCACCCCCAAAGACAGAATAGAGGTGTTTTGTGTGACTGAAGGATGGAAATAAATTCCCCCACTCTGTGAATTAGATCTGTGGTGCTCTATGTGTGTGAGGATAAATCTTGACCCCAAGTCCCCAAATATAACTGACCTAGCCTTAGCTGGATACAACCTTCTTGAGACCCTGCCCTCTTCCTCTGGGATCTGAAGTTGGCTGCAATAGCAGAATCTGTTCTAAGCTAAATCAGCCAGTTTTCTGTCTAGAGTGCTAAAGAGTATCCGTCCTTTCTCAAATGGATGTAGATGACTGTCCCCAAATCTCAAATAACATTTGGCCAAGGTCACCGGACATCACTGTCCTATTAATGACTCAGTCGCCTATACTACGGCACAAGCTGGGCGCAGTGGAGATTGAATGCCTGCCCCCACCTGGCTCTTGAGAACTGCACAGGAGAACCAGTACCAAACTGTTTGAGAAAGGTACAAATCATTTCTGCTGCCCTACAGTGTGTGGCCTTCTCTCTGTGCCGTGTCCAGGTTGGTGTGTGAAGCATGTTTTCAGGCTGATTGGATCTCATATCCACCCGGACCCGCTGCCCTCCCACGGTCTACCAAGCCCATGCTGTGGATGTGCCCTGTGTGGCCCTTTCCAAGTGCTGCTCATTCACACACACCTCAGATGGCTCATTCCTAACTTGATGCACGTGCTCCATATCTAATTCTGGTTGTTTCAATTTCTGCGTTGCTGGACCCATTTCATGTTGGGGGAAATGATCTCTTTCTTAACTGGGACTAATGGATGGAAATATGCAATGAGACCTTCAGAATGGGTTACTCATACCAATGTCACACCTCAGAGTGATGAACAGCTAGAATGCCCTCACTTTCCGGAGGCACTGTCATCTAACTGTAGCTTTTTTGGTATATATTTCATCTACTTTCCTATTATTTTCGATAGAAATTTCCTAAAAATCCAGACTATAGGATGAGACCTGTACGGTTACTTTCCAAATGTGCTTAAAAACTTAAGAGGAAAAAAAATGGAGTCACATTTTTAAAAACCACAACATAACAAGTACATTTGCCATCTAAGCCATAGTGAACTAATACAAATGACAGACCAGCCTTAGTCTAAATTATCTGAGAGGATAGAGTTTGGCTTCGGGCTTGGCAGCAGAGGCGTGCAAGAGTATGGTTAGAGGTAGAAGAGAATGAAAAAGAAGAGGCAGCAACCATTTTTGCCATGGAGGCTGAGCCTCATGCTGATCTGATTCATGTGAACTGAACTTGCTGTTGTTGGCTAGTTCGTTGGTCAGTTGGTAATTGAGTTTTATTTGACTTGCTTTGTTGTTATTGTTTTTCAGATAACTTGTAATTGATGTTAAATACTCAAGTTACACGCATATTACTTTGCTAAGCCCAGCTACGGGCCACCATAGTGACTTGGCGTCTGGGATGTTCAATATACCAATATGGGCCGATGGCTGTAGCTCAAGGGTAGAGCATTTGCCTTGTCCACAGGAGGCTCTGGGTTCAATACCCGGTTCCACAAAATAATTAATTCATTCCATTCCATTCACTACACCAATACCAACTACAACATTCTTCTGGGAAGTCTCATGAGGGTGAGCCTTACTGTATGGCCTCCAAGGGCTAGCCAGGGCCCACAGGTGCTTGGGTGGAAAACCCATTTAAAAACCAGAAGAACAACAGAATAAACAAGTAAATTCCCAGCAGGATCCACACCAAGGCTGGAGTAAAATTAAACTTGAATGGCTTTTCATGCGCTCGGAGATTGGGTTTGGTGGGTGGGGTACTTGGAAGTTCACCTTTATTAGCAGAGGAGACAGGGTGGTTCCACGTGCTCTGGCCTCTCGATGGATGGGGTTGCTTCTTACTTACAAGGCATCCTGCTGTAGATTCAGATTCCTCAGGCTGTACCGAGGCAGGAGAGAAATGAATCATGCTCTTGAATGCATTAAATACGGGTCTAAATTTAGGCCTCCTTTCTGCCTCTCTGGGTATTTTTACAAGTTTAGATAGTACTGTGAAAGCAGAATGTCCAGGACTTGCTTTCTACCATGACAACTTAATATTACCTAGCCATTTCCACTCTGAATTAAATATCCAATCTTCTTAGTGCATGGGTCATTTTTTTTTTCTTACTGCCTGGGGCTTTTTCATCTGAAATTAATAGGTAATCAGAAGAAGGAGAGGGTTTTTTGTTTTGTTTTTGATTGATTGATTGAATACAACATTTTGCTATTAAAATAACCCTTGCTCTTTGGTATCCAAGTTGTCTCTGTGGCTTTGACTCAAACAAGGGTCAATATGTGTATGACAAGCTCAAGTACTGCCCTGAATTACTTTTCTGTTTCCAGTTAATTGTTCCTCGATTTGGGTATGGAAGTAGGGCAGCTCAAGTGTCTGAAATACACTTGCGATGGTGGAGCTTAGAACATCCGGAGCAAGAAGAATGCCCACTGGTACGCTTCTCAGTCATGTAGCTCAGTCTCAGCTTCTGTTTAGGGTTTCAGACTGACCTCTAATGGCTTCAGAGCACACTGATACCTAACGGCTATAGCATAGGATGCATTGCCCGACCAGGAAACAACATACTCTGGGAAAGCAAAGCTTGGGCCAGTGCCAACTTTGGGGGAAAGGGGAATTGTTTCATTAGGTTTCATTTTCACAAACTGCTCAGGAAGCTGGCCAGCACAGGGCTGTCTCCGGAAAAGTCAGCTCATACTGTAAAGAATACCCACGTGACTTGTTTGCCAACTTGGGCTTGTGAGAGTTGCAGAGAACAGGGCTATCTCTGCATTAGGTCACCGCTGTGACCTGTATGAATTCCGCCATCATGACATCCACTGTAATTTGCTCATAGGTTGGCCTCTATTTAGAGTCCATTCCTCATTCAAAGGGTTTTTTTTTGTTTTGTCTTGTTTTGTTTTGTTTTTTCTGCCTACGAGCTGAAAAGCAAAGTCTGGAGACAAACAAACAGAGACATTGCCTTCGAGGAGCTTACAATTCAGGAGGGGCAAACTGCCATTGACAGCTGTGTGCCGAGGCAAAGCTCAACGAGGAAGTCAGTCAGTAACACATAGAGTAGGAGCATGGGT